TGTTTTAGGGGTTAACTTAAATTAAGACTGCTTATACCTTATAAACGATAAAGAAGTGCAAATATTTCATTCTGTATCTACACACATTTTTTCAATAAATATTTTAAGTAAGATTTGTACATGTTAGTCAATTTATTTAATATCTTTCTTTAGCAAAACATATATATTTTCAAATTTATAAATTGATTTAAATCAATATGCGTATGAAGTCTTGATAGATATCTGACTTTCTGTGCCTTAAAGTAAATGAAATTCAAAAATACTATATCGTGATACATCGCTATATCGCGATGCAAAACTGACGATATATCACGATATATAATTTCTAATATCGCCCAGTCCTAACTGTAAGTCGTTTGCTCAATTGCTTGCTAATAATGAATATTTAAAAAAAATCACTGTTGCTATTATCTAACTGATGATACAAACAATTGATGAATTGCTAAAGGTCAATTGATCTAGTTCTGCCTTATAAGAGATATCGCTTCTAGGTACCTTCAAACTGATGCAAGATTAAAGGTAAAACTAGTTAAAGTACTTTCAAACTGATGCACAATTTAGATAAAACATGGTGTAGTACCTTCAAACTAATGCACAGGTAAGACAGGGAAAAGTACCTTTATACTGATGCAGGACTAAAGGTAAGAGAATAGGGAGAATCTGAAAATTTGTAAGCTTGGGTACCCCTATAGACATGTCTAGTCTAGGAGGTTCTTTTAGATCAGATTACGTTCAGCCATCACGTTACGTTCAGTCCATCAATTTTATCTGATAGTTCTGATTGTTAATAACGCATTTTTCTTCCCTTTTTCATCTTGTTGTCATTGGCAACTAAATGGTGTGTGATTTAAGGTAAATTACATTCAATTGAAACCCATTAATTTTTAATTAAATTTATTATTAACTTATTTAGACAGTTAGTTAAAAACTGTGTCGTATGTAGTGCGCTACACAGTCGTATGTAGTGTGCTACACAGGGTATCAGAAGAAACTTTTTTACCAACCTAGTCTTTTCCCCATGAGTATTGAGTTTAGTTAATACAATAGCACCAGAGTTTGAATTGAATTAAAAAAGTTATCCCTAAAGTACTTTAAAACATTTTGTGCTTTGTATTTAACTTCTTTTGTCCTTATAAAACACATTAGGAGATAAACCATTTAACAAGAAGGGTTACATATTTAAATTAAATAAATATTTAGCCATAATTAATGTCATTAAAAAATATTCTGTTCTATTTGTGCCCTAAAAGTTTTAAATCAGATGTTTAGTTAAATTTATGATTAATGGTAATTTTTTGACAGTTTGGGTTTAAAAGTGCATTGATTCAGTTACAAAGAGGAATTTTAATTATAATCTTTATGGCATTCAGTACTCTTATATGATATGTTTTGTCTATTTAGTTAATTATACTTCATTTTAATTTACTTGCTCATTACCGTGACGATAGAATCTTGCCATTTTGTCCATTTTCCGACTAGATAGAGCACTCAAATATCTATAGGAATACGATACTTGATTGCAAATAGAGGTTATTGTCATTTTATCTCTAAATAGAAGTTATCGTCAATCAAAACTTCGACTAGTAGACCACTTAAACTGGAACCATATACTAGAGGACTAAACAAGTTTCAATGGTTTCCTGATTTTATTTTCATGGTACATATGCAGGCTTGTGTGCTCAGTTCCATAAGAACGACTTATAAGCCTTTGTTAAGTAGAGGTAAGTAGGTAGGTACTTTATTTACGTCGCACTAGAGCTGCACAATGGGCTATTGGCGACGGTCTGGGAAACATCCCTGAGGATGATCTGAAGACATGCCATCGCGAATTTTGATCCTCTGTATAGGGGATGACTCCCCGGCCCCGACGATCTGCGCTCGAAGTCGAGAACTTTAAGGTAGAACAATTTAACGAAGACCGATACCGCTCACCCTCGGTTTCTACACAGGCTGATCAAAGTGATCACACACCAGTGATGCTTGACTTCTTTGTTCTTCTGGGAATCGTGTCTTTTCGATCAGTCCATTGCGAGACTTGTCAAGTAGAAAACAGCGCGAAGATACACCCAGTGTTGTGGCGGGATTCAAACCCGCTATCTGCGCGCTGCATAATGTTCGACAGGGCGAGTGATTTCCTGAACACTACAATTAAAATTTGTCCCTTTATCGCCCGAAAGGAATTTATCGCCCTTCTAAATTTTGGCCACTTTGCAACTAGTTTGAATACATAAATTTAAACTGGACCTTTGTACTTAATTACAATACTTGTTTCGTGAAAAGAATTTATCATATTTTTATTACCAAATCGAATTTATCGTCAATCAAAATTTCGACCACTTTTCTACGTAAAAAATCAACAGACGCAAAACTGAAAAGAAAATAAATTTAAAAAAAAAAATTTCAAGTAAAAATGAAAATCTGTTTTTAGCACACCTAACACAAAAAACGCGTTCATCACTTTCGTATTATACTTTCATCGCCACCGAAAATCCCCTACTCCCTGTTTTTTCGAAAGTGTGAGGTTTCGAAGTTTTAGGTGTGATAAAAATAGAAATATTTTTACTTTTATTGACCATTCGAAAAAATCATTTTTAAATTTTTTTCTTTCTCATTATTTGAAAAATAAGTGTATTACTTACTTAAAACGAACAAAAATATATAATACGGCAAATTTGCTTGTTTTAAAAACATGGTTTTAAGCTTTTTGATAAGTTCCTGCACGAAACGGAAAAGGAAAAAATAATTTCTTTATTGAGGAGACTGCATTTTTGGAATTGGTTCTGAAACTTGTTTGAAAGTCTGAAACCATAGGGTAATTTAATGGATTATATAGTTTGCATTATTAATTTTTAATCAGTTTGCATTATTAATTTTTTGCTTAACTATGAGCTTCCCTTTTTACTATCGATTTTTCAAGAATATGCAATATCCATTTAGTATGTTGCAGACAATAATTGTATCGAAAGAAATTTTTTATTTCATTTTTCTTATTTATTTATTATTATTATTATTTTGCAATAAATGTGTCTTAAGAAATATCAAATGTTTGTTAACGGAGGAAAAATAACAAATCAACTGAAATTCATAAATGATATTAATGATATATTGTTGAAATCAGTAACTTGATCTACACTTGAAAACAATTCAAGCATAGATCTGATAAGTGATTCTTCGTCTTGTTAATATTTTGTGGAAGTTTTTTTTTTTTTTTCATTTTGTACTTTTTCTGACGCTAATACGTATCATCCAAAAGATAATCACTTAAATCAATAACTTAGATTTAATATAAAATCTAATATTTCACAAAACAAATAAAAAAAATCAAAGTTTTCTGAGGAAAATATGGTCTCAATTTTCATTGAAATTTACCTGGAAAAGTCAGGGAATTTTTTTTTTCGCAAATTGAGAGGGAACCCTGACAGTAAAGTTAGTGTACAGTAAAAGCGTATAGTGCAAAATAAAAAACGGATCACCCTGAATTGCTTTTGATCCAATGGTCTGATCTTCGCGTTCTAGAACTCATTCTTAATTGTTCAAGGTGGTAACAACTGTACTAATTAATAAGAGCAGACGATATTTTAGGATACGAAATCAGACACAAAATTGTACATTCTCTTAATAAACATATCTTTTTTTTTTTAAGGATTCTGATTTGTAACCCCCCAAATATAGAGTGTAGCCAGCCGCAATATAGGGTCCCAATAGTTTGGTCAGGAGAGCTGTCCAAAGTTTTTGCTCCCTAGCGTTAATTTTACTTTTTGCTATATCTCGAGAGCTTTTTAAACGAATCGAAAAGATTTTACCCTCAAGTATAAAATTTATTTATCGAAAGATGATTTCATGCAAAAAATAATTTTTAATAAATATTTATCATTTTTTATTGTTTTATTTAATATTAGTCGAAAAAACTTTGAACTGTAAGGTGTACAATTTTATACATCGTCTTAAAGAATATAATTTTACATGGCAAAATACAAAATTTGAGTGAAATCGGTCGAATAGTTTCTGAGAAATCGAATTTCAACAAAGTTGTATTTGATTTCACCCCCTCGAATCATTAAAAATTAATTTCAGTGATCTTACTTTAAGTAATTTGTGTGTTTGGACAGTATTCATATTAAACAAGAAAGTCAATGAAATTGAATCCAGATTTAAATAATATGTACGAAGTTAAGAATATTTTTTCTGGGGTGACAACACATATATGCATACATTTTAAGAAATCTTTAATTTTTTTTTAAATATATGTTAATTATAAATACAATTGTAATGAAAAATTTAAATGTATACTAAAAATTTCTTATTTAAAAAGTTTCTAGTATAAGCATTCTGAAATTGTTATTTACAATTGTCATTTTCAATATTTTTTAGCAGAAATTTTTTTCGAAAATAATCTTTTAATTTCTTTAATTTAAAATACATTGTGAATGTAAGTAAAAATATTTTTTTTAAAATAAACGAAGAATGAAAAAATAACCCGTGCAAAAATTAAATAGTATTTTTTTAAAGAGAGAAAGAGGGAATAAAAAAAAAATTTAAAAAATTTTTTCAGTAATTTGATTTTTCAAAACTTTTCACGCATTTTAATAAGCATAACAGAAAAAAAAATACTTTAAATGTATATATTGTTTCAATAATATTTAAATATTCTTCAATTTATTTAAAAAAGAAAAAAACGAATGGGAAGTTTACATGAATGAAAACAAATATGAACCTTATTTACATAAGAGAAAAACACTTCCTGAAAAATTTAAATGCGAAGCCTGAAACTTCCTCCCCGAAACGCTTCTTGTGGTCAATGGTAACCAATTTTATAGTTTATTATGTGATTCACGATTTAATGACATTTCGCATCTATATTTAAATGTATTTATCAAAAAAATTAATGAAAAGAATTATGACAAAATGAACATGGAAAAAAATGTAAAATAGGAATAAAATTAGAATGAAGCCAATTTACAAATTTAAATATCTAATTCTTAAGTAATACGTTTATTTGCAGTCAATGGTAAGAAAATATATGCCATTTTACTTGATTCTGGAATTAATAGGATTTTTGAAATAATAGTCTTCATTTAATAGCATTTTATGTTGTTTTTTATTTATCAAAATAGTAAATAAATAAAGCAAGAAAGAAACTGAACTGACACTTGATTTTTCTTCAGTGATATCAAAATCCTTGATTTAGTTCCATAGGTCAACTTAATTTGTGAATAAAATAATATAAACATTTTAAATTATAACAGTAAATTTGACAAAGTGTAGCAATTTTTACACACATTTTTTCTTTCTGTGTTTATGGTATTTACTTTTATTTCGAGTACACGCACCTTTAGCATAATTTAAAGTTGAAATACATTTCCTAATTTGTCATATATACCTGATGAGCTTTTAATATGTATTCCATAATTCCATTTAAAAATAATTTTTAACTCAACAAGAACTTGACGTGTATTGCATAATGTTGATTTGATGCATCTTTCAAGAGACTTTCAACATATCTTTTGCAAAAAGAAAAGAAAAAAATGCTATGTTTATACGTTAAAAATAATTTGCAGCTGTTCTTTATCGTTAACTTATTTTATTCTGTGTTTTTAATCCGTTCTATTATAATTGAACGTATTGATGAAATAATAAATGCAAACGATACTGTAATTTTAAATCAGTAGTTGCTACTCTAAAGCGTATTATTCAATTTTGACGTTTATTTTCATGAAAAAAATTAATCAATGCTTCATTGAATCAAATAGAAGGAAGAAAAAAAAAAGTTGGAGAAAATAACATCATGGAATAAAATAAAAAAAAGGGCGAAAAATTACGTCACTATCGTAGAAATCTCACTTCCTTTTTATCTGATGCTCTAGGTCAGTAAGAACTCTTCATTTCGTTAAAAACATGAATTGGACAAGTTTCTTTTTGTTGTGTCCCCTTCTCGTCCTAGCTCACAGAGTGAAAATAGGTATTTACATAGTTTTAACACGTATTGCACATCAATAACGTAACAGAATTTATTTGGTCTGTTATTCGGATTGAAATGTAGCGCCGATATTAATTTTTTTCTTCTTCTAAGGCTATATAACATTGTAATAAACAATCTGAATTATTATTCATTCTAAGAACATTTGTATTTGCAACAATTAATTACGTTCCATTTCACGTGTCATTACATGTATTGTACATCAATGTGGTGAAAACGGTTTTATTAACTGTTCTGATTAATAATAATTTACTGCTATTTACTATTAATTTCTTTGTTGTCCTTAAAGTAATTACGGACGTTCACAGCATTGTAATGAACATTTGCAAATGGTTATTCCTTTTTTGACCATTATTTGTCTTTAGTGCATAATTAATTGTGTTTTATTTTATATGTTATTACATTAATTGCACATGAATGTGATAGTAAATGGTCTTGTTTACTGTTTGGATTAAGTTGTAGTATGCCGCTATTTACTTTTTTTTCTTGTTAAATGAATTAGAGAAACTAACCAATTTAATATTTATTAATTTTGTCTAATTTTTTATTCTAATTAGTAACAGCATTTTTTATTTAGTGTGAAAAGAAATTAATTAATATTTTGATAAGTTTCTAGTGAGAATAAGGAAATATTTTTGTTGTTAATTTAATAGAAAATATTTTGGCAAATTGAACTATACATTTTGATTTATTATTAATAACTTGAATTTTTGTCATTGCTTTTATGTTGTTCCAACAAAATATATCAAATTTTAATATAATATTACCAGTGGCTTACGCCTTTTGCTCGCCCTCCTTCAAAATTTAAAAATGCTCCCTATCTTACATTTAACATTATTTTTTTAAATTTTAATTTGAAAAAAGAACACAATGAAAAGACATTCGGGTATTTATAATCAATCATTTTATTTTAATTTATATCAGTTTACATATTTTAATTTTAATTATTTCAGTGTTAATTAATAACGAATTAATAAATGCGATGGAAAGGCAGAATTTAGAAAAAGTTCTTAATTGGAACATTGTATATACTTCCATTGAAATGAAATTAATCTTAAAAATATGACAAAATAACTCACTATCTTACGATAATTATATTCCTATTTTAGTTAAGAGTTATTCTTATTTGTAAAGTGAATTTAAAAAAATTTTATAAAGAGAAAAAAATATTTTTATTCTAATAGGAGTGCACAACTTGTTTGAATGTAGGGCTGCATGCCCAAATATTCAGACATGTTGACTGCAATTATGATAATTTTATCAGTCAATATATTTGCATAAAATTGCATTATTTTAAATATTAAAATTCGTTCGAAACTGAGGCTTTTTAAAATAAAAAAAATTTCCTTTTCCTCAAAAAATATAAAGATTACACGGAAAACTCCCACGGTTAGCCTGATGGCAAGAAGACTCTAACCCGTTATCCGTCTACCACTGAGGATATTTTTATGTCAGCACTGTGGTCGATTGTGAGATTCATTTCGACCAGCCATCGCTGGGATTCGAACCCGGTTCACCTTATTGAAAGGCGAACCCTCTATCCTCTAAGCCACCACAGCTCCAAAAGCATAGTTTAAAATTTACTTTTTTTTTTTCAAAAAAAATTATAATATTTTATACAATTATGCTCGGAAGCTGCCGCACATCAAGAGCTAGCAGGCTACAGGTTGTGCACCCCTTCCTATTACATATAACAGAGCTGTCCAATTGCAAAGAGCCCACGGGCCAGAATTTCGGTCACTGATCACCTGGCTGGTCACAGTTTGTAAAAGTTGAACAATAACCTCTTACCTCTTATTCAATAACAATTAATAGTTGAATTTCTAATTATAAAACAATGGAACAGAAGGATTATAAAACAATTTGCTTACATTTTAATGGGAAACTGAGGCCGATCAGCCTAAATAAGAAGTTGGCGGGCCGCCAGTTGGACAGCCCTGACATATAATATGTATTATATCATTTCTGGATCATTCAACCTCAAACCGTGTGCTTTCCCCCGCGCTGTGGGGGGTTGCTATTTACTTCACTGATATTACCTATTATTTTTCTTTTATAATCAAGAGGTGCCTCTATGTTTGGGAAGCCAGTTCCCCAATAGCTTAAATACGTTCAGTCTTGCGTTCACAATTAAAATTTAATTATCACCAATTTGAAACCAATTAAACTTCAAAATTTAAGTATTTGGAAGGGTCTCCATGCCCCCAATTCACAATGACATGCCATTATTCATATTATTATTTCGTATGATTATAGTTTTTTATGTTTAAGATTTGAACAGTGATGACATTTGGAATGACGATGACAGTGCAGTGGTCGGAAAAACCCGTTAATTGCTGCTAATTTAGTACAAATGTAGTAAACTGAAACTAGTTTTTTAAAAAGTATTGGTTACTAGCTATTTTAGTCTCTATATTCAGGAGACGAATTTTATTAGAGGATTCAATTTGCACTAAAGTTCAAAATTTAAATAAAAAAAGTTGAAGACTAAAAAGAAAATATTTGTTTAGATTTTAAACAAATATTTTCTTTTTAGTCTTCAACTTTTTTTTAGAATAATAAATTGGGTTATTTAAACAGAGGAAATTAATAAGAAATATTTATTCATGTTTATATAAGCCTATTTATTACTCTAAACTGCTATACCTTTTGCGGCTTGCCATTGTCACACAATAAGACTTGATTATTTCATAATGCTAAACGTGATTATAAAAGACAATTTCACTAATTGGCATGATTTTAATAAAATAATTTTTTTAAAAATTAAAAGAAACTTTTTTATGGCTCTGCACGAGGAAGTAAGAAATAAAATACGTTATGATCGAGTTGATTTTCAGTTAATTATTCCGATTAACTGAAAATCATTTGAATGTATTTAATGTGAAGTTCACCTTAAAATGTATTGATAGAACTTTTCATAAAATTTTTAAGGTGAGTCAATGATAAATCGGCAGTTTATTTGATGTTATCACTAATATTCGAAAATCACCGACTTATCATCTGCTTTCTTTAAGAATTTTCTAAGAAATTTTAACAACACATTTTTTGAAGTCTTCAATGAGGACATATAGGTTTATTAAATCATATTATTGAGCAATAATTACTAAATCATTACATAACTAACCTGATGGCTCATCACTTGGATATTTTCAATAATTTTTAATTAAATGAGGAAAATAAATCTCATTATAAATTAAGTTATTAAATTTCATTGAATTTACTGAAATTGCTTCGTATTTTTCTGATTAGCTTGCTTATAGATCGAAGCTTTCCGCTATTTAAAATTACGCCTCTTGGGTCGTTTCCCTATTACAAACTGTTTCTTCATGTCCTTCTAAGTAAGCTTATAATAAGTAAATTTCCCTAGCCACGTACAATAACATTTCCTGGCATACGTTCCTAAGCAACTTTAATCCTGATGATATGCCCTTACTCCCTAAGAAGTTCGTCGCTAGATTTACTCGACCTCCTGTTGTACATAACGCTGTTGCTGTATTGCAGCCATTACAGCAGGGTTGATGAAAACATGATCAAAAAATTAACTCATATACATGATGCTTTGGACAAAACCAGCCTACAAATTAAACGCTGCATCATCCAATGGATACCGGCACATAGATGACAATAAAGGGCTGCTGACGCCTTAACCAAAGAAGCGAGACAACTAAATAAGGAATTTCTTCATTCTGCCACGTTTTGTGACATGAATTCAGTTTCATAATGCAAAAATAGAGTTACTTCGTTGAAACATCATATCTGCGAACTCAACATCAGCAGAAAACTTACCCCTAACTCTAAAAAACCTTAACAAGACTGAGAACTCGACACTTCAGGGGGATGGAACCATACCGTACACTAACTATAATATTGCTTTTTTAATGATATTAACTAATATAAATGCATTTTATCAGATGCTTTTGGTTATTAAATATAAAAAAACAATTTTGAAAATCGGTTTTGAATTGTAAAAAACCGATTTAAATCCATACTGTTTTTTTAATCATGATTATTATCAACAATGAAAAACATATATTAGCAGTTGTGCAAGGGTGGGGGGAATTATAGTCCGTACAACCAGTTACTATCGAGGCAAGATTAAAATAACCAAAACTAATTTAATTATTAATAACAAATATATCTCATAAGAATCTTTTAATCTCTACTATTCCTTCCAACAATCAAACAAATATTGTCGTTTTCCCGTCTTCTATTCTCTTGAGATCGGATCTTTTAAGAATTTTAGAAAATGTGATTTTACTTAGAAACATGTAACTTTAAAGTAAACTCATTAATGTAACTCATTAACTTAAGTAAACTCATTAATGCAAAAAAAAAATAATTAAATAAACTTAATTATTATTTAAGCACCTTTAATTTGCATCAAGAAATAACAAAATTTTATTTTTTGCATATTGCAGGTTATCTTTATAACGTATTTCTTCACGTTTTAGTCCTGAAATAAAATCCACTCGCCTGATAAGATATGGCATGAAACTGTCTAAAATCAATTTTCGAACCTTTCTAATAACTTTCTATTGTAATTAATAATTCCGACTATATTTTTACAATGACAATCGCTTTTTAAAGGCATACAAGCAGGAAGAAATCATAAAATATTGTTCAATTCTACCAAATTTTATTTAATACATCGGACTCTGGGTCTCAAGAGGTTTTAGCTGATCGAAGTTTTTTTTTCCTCTTCTCAATTTGCGAACATAAATTGAATGAATGAACATAAATTTTATTTCATTTTCGACAATGATTTAAATGTGTATATTAAGTATAGTGATTCGATACAGTTTCTATTTATAAGCGCATCAAATATCGATTCCAATTTATCCTTTCTTTTATAAAGGAAGAGTGAGTGGTCCAGGAGATGATGACCGTCTTACAACAGAAGAGTTCTGGTCGTATAGTCCAAATTCGGCTACATCTCTTATTTTGGAACCGGTGACACACAAAATACAATGGTGGACCACCTTAGATGCCACAGTAGCTGGTAAGTGTAATCCTCAATTGGATTTGTAAGTTTTACCAACTATTTATTGTTCAGGTCACAGTTTTTCAATTATATTTTAACTGTGTGACACTAGAAAAAGTATGGAACAAAACTGAACTTTTGAGCTATCTCATAATTATAAACGAGGTGTCAAGATATTGTTATGCTGCTATGTACTACTTTTTTAGACTCCATGCAGTACCAGAAAGTTAAGAAAAAGTTAGTTAAAGGTGAATAACATCGTAATATGAATAGAAGCCTTGGATACAATGCTAAGATGAACTTGAACTGTGCATTTAGTGTGACGTCACGAAACGATTTTAGAAAGAAAAAAACTAGTTAAAACAAAAACGAGAATAAAGCACAAATGTAAGTGCAAAAATGGACTTACTATAGTTTGTGTTCTAAACAAGGATCTTCCTCAATATCTAAATACTGTATAATGATACAGAAGGAAAGTGGCATGCAAGTGTTAGGTAGTTTAACCAATAGGGGTAATTGTTTGGTATAAGTTTGAACAAGATAGTAAAAAAGGAGAGTTAAGAAACAAGTGTGAGAGGATTTGGCGAAAACCCCGAAATATAACAGAAATTAGAATAGACTTACAAATATTGGAAAAAGGTGAGATATTAGAAAGATAATTAACCAAATTATTAGAATTTTTCAAAATCTGGAATAACTCCTGAAAATCACGTTCTATAAATGAAGAGCAGTGTTGAATGTTTTTAGCAGAAGAAACTCAGACCTTTGATTCGAATTCCAACTATGTAGAGCTATAGAAAATCGGTCAATGTTTTGAATTTGGACACATCTTTCACGTTCTTAAAATCGAAGCTATTAATATCAACAATAAGGTCTTTAAAGTTAGTGAAATTTACTGTGGGAAAACACATTTTTAAACTCAAATGTATTCAAAATCTGATCAAGTTGGGAACTGATTTTCGAATAGTAAGGTAAAACAATCAATTTATCAAAGCTTGAATTAGAGAGTTTGGTGGATTACGAGATTCATTTTCTTTAGATGGAATCAATAATTAGAAACAAAACCGGGTCTTTAGCGATAACTTTAAGGTAAAGGAGTTCTCGCGCTACACCAAACTCTCTGATTTGAACTTTAACAATTTGATTGTTTTACCCTATTATGCGACAATTGGTTCCAAATGGTTCCAAAAATTTTAAGATTCCTTATAAATTTGAGTTTAAAGTTGTTTTTTCCGCTGTAAATAAAATAATCTTCACCAACCTTAAAAATCCTATTGTTGCGTTGCTATTACTAGCTGGTGCATCTATCAAATTTCGTGTCAATGTAGACTTGCGTATCTAAGACTAACTAAACGTACCCCTAAGCTTCGACTAAAGGAATACGAAAGATATATCTAAAATCGGGACATTAACCGATCTTCCATAGCTCTACATAGTTGAAATTCTAATCACAGGTATTTTATTTTGCTAAAATCATTCTACACTGCTCTTCATCTATCGAACTTAATCTTTAGAAGTTACTCCATATTTTAAAAAAATTCTAATAATATTGTTTTTGATCTTTCCAGTATCCCTCCGTTTCCATATATTTAGGAGTCTATTTTAATTTAATCTGTTGCACCCCACCGAATCCCCTCGCACCTGTCTCTTACCTCCTCACTCTTGCTTCCTTGTTCAAACTTGTTCCTCTGTCTCTATTGGTTAAACCACTTTGCATATGTTTGTCTCTTTACTTCTCTATCATCTGTTGTTCAAACACTGAGGAAAGTTCTTGTTTATATAACCGGAACTATAGTATGTTTACTTCTGCACTTTCATTTGTGCTCTATTCACGTTTTTTTTTTTTTTTTTTTTTTTTTTTTTTTTTTTTTGTGCATAGCACAAAGTATTTTTCTATCCTTTTTAGCAACAACTAGTTATACCGAGTTCTTATTTATAGTTCCGAAATTTTAGCGTCAATACCAGTAGTGGTTGGGGAGAGATAAGGGTTTAAGCCCGTTTCAAGAACCTCTATTCTTGTGCCCCAAAATATTGTTGATGTTTTTTCAGACACAGGAAAAACACCAAACTTTTGGGGACTGGTTTACATTATGTCAATGGAAGGTAGCCTTTTTCCCCAATTCACGTTCTTTGTTATAACTATAACCATGGATATATATTTAATTTTTTGCAATGAAATATCCTACCAAATGATTTGAAGCACTTAAGTTGGCTGGCTTGTATCTTACTGTTACCTTATGTGTATGTTTCATTCTATCTGTATGATGCGAATTCTCCTAACACTGTTAAGCTCATGGGATAGCTGATTAAATTGGGATAGCCAATTTTACCCTAAGTGTAAACTTCATTTTTTTTTTCTGTCTCAAGTTCTTCAGCCAAACACTACTTATCGCTAGGAGTAGCTGATTTGAATCCAACTGAGCGCTGGTTGTTCAATGTGATGTCCTTCTTTCAATGGGATGTCCTGGCAAACGATTTGAAGCACATAAAGTTGCTGGTTCTTCTTCTTCTTTTATACTTTTCTTTACGCTTGAAGTTTGTTTTTCTTTTTATTTTTAAAAAATATTCCTTTCCTAATTTTATTCTTTTATTGTAGTTTGCAAACTCGCTGAGCGTGGAGTTCGAGCTCTGGTTATGGATGGACCCCCACGGCTCAGTCCTTTGCTGGCTACATATTCAAAGCATATGCAGATGCCCAGTATAGGAGGAACGGTGAATGTTCTTCCGGATGCGAACGAGGCAGCTGCTTTTTTCATTCAACAGTGGAAAACCTTTGCCTTCATCTATACAACAGAAACAGGTAAAAAGTTCCGTTCTTCAACGTCATGTATTATTCTTGTTTACAGTGTATTTCGAAATTACCGCGGTTGTCATATGTTTTTAGAATCCTTGTCCAAGATAAAATTAAAAATGTAAGCTCATTTAGGCTCACAAATTAGAATTTTCAGGGGGAAAAAAACACAAATTCAATCAAAATCTAACTTATAAGTACAGAGGAAAGCGAGACTAAAAACTATCAAAACCTTTTTGCTTGCGGAGGAAACAGAAAGGAGTTGGAAGGCTATAGTTAAAAATATCCCCGAGTTTAATCTAATACTCAAGTCGTGTGGTGGGTTAAGTTTTCGCATGTTTCACCTCGGGATGAGGTTTGATTCTCCATGCTAAAAGTTGGGTGCATTTTCTCTGATCGTTACAGAGTGGCCCAGCATCAACTCTAATGTAATGACCCCGGTAGTATCAGAGCCAGAAAAGTCCGAGTATAAGCTGGGCGGTTGGAAAGTGTGGTATGGAGGTCTGGTGATTATTATATTACCATTTATCCTGCGGTCTAAATTGTGATTATATAGTGCGCACATGCACTAAGTATTAGTTTCGGATCCTCTTAAAGGATGATTCCCAAACAGTCGTCAATAAGCAAGGTAGTGAAGATCTAGTGCGTTGCAAACAACCAAACGAAACAGATTTCGTATGCGTTTTTGTTTTATTCCCTTCACTGAAATTTTAATTTGCGATCCCTAATATGTATACTTTTTGGCTTCATTTTTCACAAGGATTCCAAAAATGTACATTCATTGTACTTACAACGGGCGTTATTAGTTCATTATAAAATATTCAGACTCACTATTATTACTATGGTAAAAGAATTTCTACCCATTGCAACTGTCTCAAAAAATTTGATTAGTCATACCGATACCACATTTTGAAATTTTATGACTTGAGCTTTGCAAAGTAGGGCTGTACAAAATTTATCTCAACAACTTGAAAATTTTTAAGCCTTCTTTCTTTTTCCATAGCAATGATTTCCAATGTCACCAATAAACATCTTTTAAGATTAGTATCTCCATACTGATTACTTGAACTTGCCCGACCTATTTAAGTATAAAGAATTATGTTTAAATTGTGGTTTATGGACAAAATCAATTCTTTTTACTTTTTTTTCAATTATTGGTGCATTGCGAAATACTGGTGATATTTACAAAGGGCTTTTTTTTCGGATTGCCTAAGACATGTATACAGGGTGTTCTGAAATTCAACTCACAAATTCAGAGGGGTGATTAAAAGATATCAAGCTATTGCTAATTTATCATAGAAAACAGGATCCCAACCAAGTTTAGAGGGTGAAATCCACGAAAAACCCATGCAGGCCCTGAATCTCAAGTGTGGTGAATTAAGATTTGTAATACCTCCTTGAATTGCTGCTACTTGTGACATTCATATATGGTTCGAGCATGATAGTCCCCTAGCACATTATACCAAGTGCACACCACTTTCTACCAAAGAAGTGGACTGGGTGCGGGGGTCCCATTGCATGGCCTCCACGTTCGTTGGATCTTATTCTTTAAGAAGTTTGTCTTTTTCGACCGGGTCACATTAAATCTCTAATTTATGCAATGCATGTGCACACACCGGAGGATCTCATAGCGAATATTGTTTTCGCTTCATCAAACATCAAAAGCACCCTGGCGTCTTCAAATGCGTCCAGGAATCGTTTTTACTTCGTTGAAAACTAAGCAATGGCGTCAGCGAGCACCACTTTGAGCAACTTCGTAATAATTAATCAAATAAATATTTTTTGTAATCGGCAAATTTATAGTATTTTTTGTAGTTGTTTTCTAGTGTGGCGTTGAAACCTGCATATGTTTTTCGCGATTTTCACCATCTTATAGTACCGTAAACCGGGGCGAGTCTACCCATTTTTTCAGTTTGTCAACTTTCAAGTGGTCAAACTTTTGTAAATATTAAAGAAAAAAGGCTTTTAATAGGTGTTTCGGAATCGCTATTTATCCCTCTTTAAAGCTGTGAAATCGATTTTAGAAAATATTAACAGTTACGCTGTTACTGTATATTTTTATAGAACTGCTGACAAATCTCTCGTATGGGGCGAGTCTACCCATTCTACTAAAATGAATGTTAACATTGTAAATAATCAAATTTTACTATTAAATTGTTATTTTAGTTACTATATAGGATATTTATGAAGTAAAATTCATAACTTTATTATATATTCCATTTTTTTATTCATAAAATAACACAAATTGAGTATTTGATCGATTATCACATTTTGATCACAGTTTTGTTTTTATAATCATTAACATTATAAAATAACATTTTTTTCTGATTATTGTTGATAAAAATAAATTAAAATTAATATAAATTTACAATTAAATAATTAATAAATAATAATAATTAAAGATTATTAACAAAATCGAAATTCAAACATTGGGAATCATGAAAAATCCTTTTCCCATTCTTTTGGGAGGTAATAATAATTTATAAATAATAATTTATTTAACTTGCATTAAATAAAAAAAGTTAATTTTGTAATATAAAAATTGAAAAAATAGGTAAAATAAACATATTTTATATTTACATTTATATTTAACCTATAAATTTTCTTATTAATGATAAATTTATCAATGCAGAATTAAAATAATATACTCAAATTCATTTAAAATGACTTAATTTTAATATAAACAAAGTTCTAAATTTTATTATTATTATGCTTTATTAAAACTAAATACGAATGGGTAGACTCGTCCCGCGAATTCGAATTCTGGCTTTTTGTTTACAACAGCAAAACTTACATTCTTTTTGTTCTTTTTTTTCATATAAAATTAATGTAATCTTAGTCTTAGATAAGTTTATCACTTAAATAGTAATAATAATAATATACTTACGGAGCACCAACTAAAAGTTTGCTGAGTTTTAATACAAATCTCTCAAAAGACGTTTGAACAGGTCGGTTAAAGAGACACCAAATAAATAAAAACGAATCAAACTACTACAGCGCCATCTTCCTTAGAGTCTGAACTAAGTCCTCCGTCGGTAAAAAATTTTTTATTTACAATTTAAAATAGTGAAAATTAAATAAAACTAAAATGGGTAGACTCGCCCCTGGATGGGTAGACGGTAGTTTGTGACTTCATACTAGCGATGGTAAGTTTTCCTCTTCTTGATGTTTTTTATCACTCGCTCTGACTTTGTTGATTGAATTTCGAACACCCACACCCTGTATATCTCATATCGAGTTCGCCCTATTCTGCCATGTTACCAAAACCGATTTTCGACAAAAGTTGGCTACTACATAGGCGCAGGATTCTAAATGAAAATCTTTCGGATGGGATGGAATTTTCTTTTTGGAATAATATAATAGGGATGTTAAAAAAAGTAACATTCAATCGTATTTCATCAATTTTTTCATATTACTTTCTTTCTATGTAGGGCCGGATCAGCTTCAGAAGATTCTACGTCTTTTAGATTTCACTCCCAGGGTAGAGGCTTTCTGGCGTACTAATGGCGCAAAGGAGACTCTAGAATTCGCCAAATCTCTGCCGAATGTTCCATTAGTGATATCTTCCTCGGAATCATTTGTGGATGAGTTATTGTCTTATTTGGCTATATTGAGAAGAAGTTTTGATATAATGCTCTTAACACCTGTAAGTATTTGTTTTTCCATTGAAAGGATTGGCAATAAACCAACATTTTTTACAAAAATGATATTTTCACATCAAAACTTTCTTTAATATTGTTTCGAGATAAATATCTTATCAAGTTTTGGGAATGATACGTGAGCCTAAATATATAAAATGTGGTGGCCAATAAAAAGTAAATATTTATTAAAAGATCTTAAAACTAGCAACACTTTCTTAAATGCTTATTCAATTTATTATTAAAAGTGAAAACAAAGGTAGAATTTTATTTCAAATATATATTATAATGTAATACACGATGCACATTCCACTACAGAAACATACATGGATTTTCCCTTAGCATCTTTATTCACTGAGATCTTTGAAATATGAGAACTTAGCAAAAGAAATCAGGACTAAAGTCACATCTAACATCTTTGATAAATCTCAATGGTTTCAAAGTTATCACGTAAAATCCATAATTCACAAAGCTTTTTATTTATCTAACGTGATTGGTTGGATGAATTAATTTGTAATGCATAAGATAATTTTAGAATCATTCTTTTTTCCTTTATGGTTCAGGTTGGTAGCGTACGAAAGAAGCTGCATCCCGGCTCCTACAGACTTATTCAATTCTCTTTTGTGGATCAAGACTCACCCACTCTGAAAGGCTTCGAAAACAGATGGAAAACCATTCGAAGAAGTTCCAATACCGACAAAGAACTGCCTGTGAGTTAACCTTCAGAATGTTGTTTTTCCAAATTAGTGTCATTGAAAAAAAGTAGTATTAGTATAAAAAGTCAAGAACTTGGTTTATTCTTAGTTCAATGCTATAATTATGAGGGCTGTTTTTTTTTAATTAAGGTTCATTTTGTTGTGTACACCAATAGATGCCGCTTGCGTCGCAACGAGTATTTGAGGCGTGTCTCGGCATTCCTTGTGTCAGTTCTGAGTCTTTAAAATGTTCAAATTTAACAAATCACCCGCCGTGTATGAGTTACGATCAGTGATGCGTTTTAAGTCGGCAAAAAACCTGTCTGCTGCATGCATTCACCGACAGATTTCCGAAGTAGCTTCCTATTGGCACGTTGACAGAAATACTCCATGACAATGACTATCTCCACAGCTCAGTCCCGAACTTTATTGGCCCTTTAAGCTCGGAAATTTTCGATCACCCCTCATCAGCCCAGATCTTGCGCTAAGTGATTTTCATGCTTTCCGATGTTCTAAACATCGTTTTCCCAGGAAACCAGTACAACGATTATGAAGACGTGAAAACGGTCGTAACCTCTTGGATATCGGAGCAGGCGGCAAGTTACTATGAAGAGGGTATTCTAAATCTATTTGTAAGGTATGATAAGTCCTTAAGCAAAATTGACTATTATTTTGAAAACAAAAAGAAACGTATGTAGAATCAATGAATAAATTTGCTACATGAATTTTTTTTTTTCATTTGATTTTTAACTTCAAATGGCCCTTATTTAAAAAAAATAGCTCGTATAATTGAAATTTTATAAAAAAAATAAATCATAATACATTTCAAACTATATTACTACATTAAAAATTGTTTGGGCTGGGATAGCCTGGATGGTAGGTCATTGGGCTCGTATTTGTAAGATCGCAATTTCGAATCCCACCTGCCGAAGAATGGGAATTGGTGCACGTTAAATCAGTCCGGGTAACGAAATCCTCCAACTTCCTTTTGACAAATCAATACCTCTGGAGGTACTGAATTTGAAATTGATCATTCTCTGGTTCATGTCTGTGAATGAATGAATGGGTAGTCCCTTTAAAAAGAGCTGTGACGTGTGCGGCTGAAATCGCATTCTTAGCCACAGATGGCGTCACAGAAAAACAAAAAAACGCCCCCTATGCCTTAAGTTCGCTTAATTTCCTATAGCACGCTTGCTAGTATTGATATGTTGCATTAGTAAAAACAGCAACAATAAAAATTGCTTAATTCAAGCAAATATATGATTAAAATTTATTGAAAATGGGATCGAAGAGTGGAATTTCGGGGAATCTTTGCCAAAGTGTAATAACATGTGTTTGCTTCTTTTAAATTTCCTTAGAACTAAACATTAAAATTCTGATTTATCTAAATTTATCCATTATGTGAAATACTGAAAATTAATCCATTATTTGGAATACTAAGTGGTCCATAACGTGGCTTATTTGAATTGTCCGAGCTTTAAAAACAAAATTTTGTACATAAACAGTTTTTTTCTTATTGTCTTTTCAGGATAGTGCCATATTGAATCATGAAGCTAGCACAGTTTTTCAAAACTTGTTCAATGAGCAAAGATCTTCTGATTTTTCCGGACAGAAGTTTGATTGCTTTAATTACAGCGCAGGGATATCACCTAACGATTTACAAAATGTAAGTGCGAAAACAGTTATTGCTCAGATTAAGTATTTAATCTTGATCATACGATATAGAATAAACAAATTTAAAATTGCGAAGCTACGGGTTTGGACATTGATAGCTGCAGACCATTTACTGATTGACTGTTCAGTGCTGCTGATAAAATAAAGTAAAATCTCATACTTTAAAATAATTTTGTTATAATAGATTTCTTTAAATGTATAATTTTAAAGGTTTAAGGTTAAATAAAAATAGTCAAAAAGAGTGCTTCTGCGAGATACTAATTACTTTTCAGCAACACCATCTGGCTAGAAGTAACAATCTTCATGGTTTAAGAATATCTTTTAAAGTTTGGGCTGGATACCTTAGCTTCTGTGATTTTAAACATGAACTTAGATATATGTGAACATTCGGGACAATGCTGCCCCCCCCCCCCATCTCTGTGAAAATATTTCAGTGAAAGCATTTTTTTTTCCAGTCCAGTGGAATAATTGCTCCAATCACACATCGGCGTAGCCATTGCTTGACAAAATGAGTGTTCAAAAACTGGATTGGCTTTTTCAGAGCCCCAAAATAATTACCACAAAAATACAAAATAATTACCCTTTAGGCGAATTATGACGAAACTTTCATAGCCAAATCGAATCTTTTCACTACCAGCACTTACATGAGCTCTGCTAGATGCCTGAAAGTCACCATTCCTATGGCCACCTATCAAAAACAAGTAAAAAATGTCCCCAGACATGTCAGGGTGCCATCAATGTAAACGGTGGAACAACAACAATAACACATTAATATATGCTCTGAACTCTCCGAGTCCGTACCATGGGAGTCCGGTTATTTCTGGCCAAATAATGTGTCTCGAGAACTTCTCTAGACACCAGAATCATCGCTGGCTTTTACTATGACTACGAAGATAATGGACAACTAGTCAACTTTTCATTTTTGGACGTAGCCAAGTAAACTATTAACCGAGCTTGAAACTGAAACGTACATAAATGCATCACCCACAGGTCTGCCTTTGCTCTAAATATAAATAGTAACCGGATCTGAAGCGTGCTTACAGTTTGTCTAAAATAAGAACTCCTCCAGACATTCGTCTGGTCCTGTGGCGGTGACCATAGTAACGAGGTATGACTATTTCAAGTAAAGGTGTGGGGTCACTGTTTTGGAGTGGTTTCGGCTCGAGTCGGCGAGAGAAAGGGAATCTCTTCGGTCTATTGTGTTAGTCCAAGAGTGAAGCTACCCTCCCTAAAATGGGTCATTCTTGTTTCCATAGCACCAGATGGCTTCAGACTTTGTGGCGGGAGGAGTTCTTAGCTTAGAGTCTAAGCCTTAGACCAACTATAGAGATCTATCCTCTCCTCAAACATGCACAAAGCAGAGATCGTTACGTAATATACCCGTTTGAACCTCTTTCCAGGCTTCGGAGATCACCTTTTGTTGACAAATATCTGCATTGAAAATGAAACCGTTTAGAGGCCCCCCTTCTCCATTTTAGCTGTGTATTGAAACTGTAACCGTAATCGTTTCACATTGTTTAGATTGGGAGAGTCCTGTAATTTCTTGTTCCTAGAGCAACAGGCAACCTAAGACTTACAGCCGGAAGAAGTTCTTTTGGTAACCAGACAGTATCTTCATTTTTATATAAAAATCAAAATGTAAAGAGGGACTCAAAATAATATATATATTATTTATTAAATAATATACATATATATAATATTTATTAAATAATATAATATTTATTAAATAATACATATATATTTAAAAAATAAATAATACAGATATTAATAATACATATATTTGGATGAAGTTAAAAATCAAATAATTTTATTTCAACAAATCGCACTCTCATTTTAAAAGATTTTATTGTTTCTTGTTCACAAAATTTATTTAAAATCCAAAAATAAACCTTAAAACAAGATTCTTCTGTGGCACAAATCCAAAAGCATTCCAGAAAGGTAAGAAGCACGGCATCAAAATGGCCTCCGTATTTACCATATATGAATCCAGTGGATTTTTCTATTTGTTTCACCTTTAAGACAAGAGTTAGATCTAGAAATCAAAATACTATGGCAACCCTAAAACCATCATTAAACAAGAAGTGAGCGAAAAATATCAGAAAGTGAGTTGCAGTCCAATAACACAAAATTTTATGAGTCTTTTATCAGCTCTAGATCATGTTCAATAGTAGACAATTTAAAAATGTATAATTCTGCTGAATGTAGTAATGTTTCATAGGTATATTGTATAGTTGAAAGTCTGTCGGTGATATCTTGATAATAATAAAGATTTTAAATGTTTATATGTATTCAAATATTTTTTTGTCGTTCTATCTGAGATGTCAGTTTCTTTGATAACTTTTTAATAATACGAGTAAGTCTTTAAACTTATGAACTGTTTATTATTGTTATAAAAACGTTTATACAGGTGTTCGTGTCAGATGGACTAAGTGGGGAAATAAAATTTGATTCTGAGGGAAGAAGAAAAGATTACAAGCTTAATATCTATGAAGAAAGGCCAGTAGATTTGAGAAAGGTAATTTTATAAAAAAGAAGAAAAATTATAAAAAATTTAACTTGCGTAACCAGAGAAAGAAAAAAATTAAAAACAGGTTGAATTTTGTTAAAAAGGGATCTTTTAACAAACTTTTTAGATTAAAATATGTTGCCGAATTATTTAAATATAAGCATTAAATATCGTGGCATTGTTGGCTGAATTTTGTTTAACTTTTGGCTGTGTTCATTTTCGATAAAACGCCAAAACTCGATCTCTTATGTTAAAGGATCTCCAGTGATAATGACCTATAATGAAGAAGATTACTATCTGTCTCACAGAATTTTTATTCACGACATTATTAAATAAATAATTTATTTTTGATCAGAAATATGATCTTGTTTATAGCTCCTTAAATATATATAAAGATTATATTGCTTTTTTTTCCTTCTTCTCAAACTTGAATTATTTTACGCAGACAACTTTTTACTTGAAATATAAAAATCCGCTAACTCAATTAAATTGATCGCGTCAAACGATCGCACTCTTGGTGATTAAATATGCTAGCAAACACAAATTTCTTATGGTTACATATTAACTCTTTGTTATCAAATTCACTTTGAGCAGCCATCCACACCAAAAACATTCAGCGTTTTTTTATTTAGTGCCTTCATAAACTTGATACTGCGAAAATTAAACATTTCAAATTTTTTTTCGTTTCGAAATCCTCGTCAGAACCTTTATCAATAAAGCATTACAGCAATGCCTTTTTTTATCCTTCATACTTTTTTATATTGTGTGTGTACATAGTTCGTGTATTTCAGATAGGATGGTGGTCGGCTAACGAGGGTGTACAGCTTTCAGAAAAACATATGCAAATGTCTCCCACTTCGGCTGCTCAACAAGATGAACGTGCTACGCATTTTCGGGTTACAAGTATTATAGTAAGTATAATACAGTGATTTCCGATTTACCGAGATTGGATTACCTGTACCAGGATATGGTGCTATATCCCACTAAAATATATTTTCTGTTTTCAGAACAAACCATTTTTGTTCGAAAGCTCAGATGGCAATTTGCAAGGTTTCATTATTGATTTCCTAGAAGAACTGAAGACTGTCCTTCGTATATCATACACCTTAAATTTAGTGAAAGATGGTAAATATGGTATGGTGAATCCTGACGGCACATGGAATGGTATGATTGGAGAACTTTTGAGAGGTGTAAGTTACCATCATTTCTTTTTAGGGGTTACGTGAGATTTAAGGATTGAAAATAAGCATATTTTCTTTAGATTATTTTTAATATTATTAAATAAACTATTTTAATCAAACCGTATTAAACTCCATTCCGTTTCCTGCAACGGAGAGGAGTTTAATATGGCTTGAAGAAATTTTTTAATATTTTTAGAGTGTTGAGCTATATAGTATGGGTGAATTTTGCTGCAAATTTAATTCGAAGCTACGTTGAGTTTTAGTTTCGTACTTCTTAACCGATCTGACGTCTTGAACGAAGATCTTCGTTCTTATAAAGTTGCAGAAAAATAGAGAACGAAGAAGAATTTCTTTAAACCTTTCGAGCTCAAACGTGTCCGGAAAGAATATCTTCGTTCTTATAAAATTGCAGAAAAACAGAGAACAATGAAGAATTTCTTTGAATTTTTAGTGTTTAAATGAGGCAGGAACAAAGATCTTACAGACAAAACCAATTCTTTCTGACTCCAACAGATTAAGAAATGGTAGTTGCACCCCATCAGGCGTTCAAAATCTACTGGTTCAAGCACAAAAGCTAAACATATATCGAAAGAAAATGTAAAATTAGTGGTTATGAAAAAAAATCTTAAATATTTATAATTGGCCAAGTTTTGACGACACTTGGAAAAAGCTGTGAGACGCTAGGTTGGTTAAACTTGTTTATCTATATACATAATAATAAAAGCGGCTGTGTGTCTGTCTGTAATCACAATATATCGCCCCAGAAGCCTCGCCCAGGCACGAAACTTGACACAAAATTGTGTTTTGACATAATGAAGAAGTATTTTTTTTCTTTTTCAAAAATTTGGATTAGTTTTTTAGTTATCAGTCATTTTGTAAGAAAATCTATGCTTTTTCGTCTTCAAATAAGAGCCATATTAAAAAAACTATTAAAAAATGCATATCTCTTATAAATGTATGCTAATGCGAGCCTTACAATTGAAATATTAAATTTCGACAACTTAAACCAATAATATACGAAGGAATTAATAATTTAATTGTAAGGTTCGCATTTGTTTACATTTATCAAAGTGGAGAAAAGTTTAACTTTTGTATTAAAAATGTGGCAACACATTCCATACGTAAATAGAACGCTTTGCTTTGATTTATTTGTCGATGTTCATAATTGTTATTATAAGTTTTTCTTCTTCTTTCCACGCTCTATTTTTTTTTCTTAAGCGAAGACGATAATTTTTGTAGCAATGTAGAAATAGAAATTGATACCATAAAAAATTATATAGAAATAGAAATTGATATCATAAAAAATTAATTCGTTTTTGGGGTAGACTATATTTGAGGGTGCCCCCGCCAAGTTGTGATCGAGGTTGATCGCCAAGCTGGGCGATGTTGAAAACCAATCGTTATTCTGATTGGTTTAGATTTTAATCGTGATTCTGATTGGTTAAGAATTTAGCGTTGTTTTTAAATGTAATTTCAGAGATCCGTTAGTTCTACTTTGGATACTGGCTGGTAAGGTTACTTTTGCTTCTGGTACTAAAAATGAATACTGTCAATAAGACAAATCTTAAGTTTCTGTACGATTTGAATAACAAAGGAAAAAAAGTAGTGATTGACTGGTGTATGAATGAAGGTTTAATTAGTAATAGATATAAATGTCCTGTTTGTGGGAAAGATGTCTCTGGTTGAACGTAAAGATTGATCAGATGGATTTGAATGGGTCGTGTGAAAGGTTCAAATGCTCCCAACATAAAAAGATCTATTAGAAAGGGATCGTAGTTTAGACAGTACCTAACTGCAATTAGAGAATTCTGTGCACCAAAATCTGAAGATATTCAAGCTTAATGAAGAAGTGAGTTATTTTTCTCTTTTTCTTTCTGTGCTTACTCCATTAATTTTTGTTTCGATTCAAAATGCATTATAGTGGGTTTATTAATTTTGATTCTATTCTGTTCACTGCAATTTTAAAAAGCTTTGCTTGAATTTTCAATTGTTTCATTGAAATATCACTATGTTTTGGCCGCTATTCCTGTTACCACGGAGTTCTGGCAACCAAGTAAGACGCCAAACATAAGTCGCCGATTTCGCCAAGGGGCACCCTCAAGTATATTTTCCCCCGTTTTTGTGTTCTTTTCATGTATTTAGCATTTTAGTTTTTTTTCTTGAGCGTTGTAGCCATATAATATATAAAATAGGAATTTAATTGTTTTTGAAGGAACGATCACACTTACCTTGGATCTCTTTGGTTTTTCTATTCTTTATTTTAACAGTTTTTATTAAATGTAATTAGTTATTTCAGAAAGTTTCAGTTTGCAGGTAAGCACTTAGATTTTAATACTGAAGTTTCATGATTTGCTTTCATAGTATGTTCTAAAGTATTCGTTGACTTCTTAAAAACCCGATTACTGACATGACATGGCAGAATCGCCTTCCAAAAAACTTTGTATTTTGTCAAAGAAAAGGATATTAAGAGATTCTCAAAGAAGAAGAAGGGCCCAAGAAACATCTGTGGAACGTCGAAGAAGGATGGAACATGACCGAATTTCGACAAGCAATTCTAGAGCCCAAGAAGTATCAGAGAAACGTCAAAGATTAGAAGAGGTTTTCACCTAATGATGATTTCGAAAGCAACTTTTGTATTATGCTTTTACAATTTCTGAGGCCTTTTTAAAAAAAAATTTAAAAAAATCAAGTCTCCACCTGATATTTATATTATAGGTTAGATTACCATAGGCCTTAGGTTACCATAGGCCTTATGTTACCATACCAAAGTTACATCTTCAAACATCCTCAAGAGCTATAACACATCTGCAACAGAACTGGATATGAAGACAAAATTGCAGGACAGGAACACTTTAATTGTCCACTAATTTTCAGATTTCCTGCTATGTTTTAAAAAACTTTATTTGTGAAAACCGTTAGCGTGGCGGACAGCTGGCCGCCTTTAGCGGCTAGTATAAAATAAAACACTTAGATGATTTATTTACATATTACAGTTAAGCCTCTTGTTTGCCACTTAATTTGTGTATAATTTTGAGATTTGGTGTCCTATACTTGGACGTTGTTACAATATGGTGCTGAATTTCAAAATTATTGATATGTATTTTAAGAATATACAGGCTATTATATAAAGCCACTTATAATTGTCAGTAGTGCCGACCGACCTGTGTAGGGGGCAGGGAACTGTCCTTGCATCAGAAAGGTCTTGGGCTCGAATCCCGGGCAAGGCGTGGATGTTTCTTTCTCTCTCTGTGTGTTCTATGTCCTTTCTCCTTTGTGTGTGAATGTGACCCGCCCTATAAACAGGTTGTGGTTGTGTGAATGGCGTGGCAGAAGTCCAATTTCTGGTCGTAGATGGCGCCACTGAAAAACAGGAGCAATCGCACTCCCACTGCCTAAACAGGCATACGAAAAAAAAATTTCAGTAGTGAGCATGTAATGTTTACACGTTTAAATTTGTACGGAAACACGACTCAGCTTAACACTTTTGCAGTTAGTTCGCACCATATTATTGTTCAAAGTACCGATATCATGGTTCAACTTTAAACCTTATTTTATTAGAGTACAAAGTGTCGCAAACAATTAAATCATTATTTCATACTAAGTATTATTTTTCATTTGCTCCACAGGAAGCAGATATGATAGTCAGTGATCTAACAAAAACAAAATTCCGTGAAGCTGTAGTAGATTACAGCAAACCTTTCATGACATTTGGACTGAATATCCTGATGAAGAAACCGGATAATATTCAGCACGAGAGGTCATCATTCAGTCCTTTCAGCTTTTTGAAGGTGTGGTCAGCCGAGACATGGACTGTCGTCATACTGTCTCTGTTAGTGTTGTCTGGGACATGTTACCTAATTAGCAGATATGTGGCACCACCAGACCGGGTACGAGCCTTGGAATCTAAAGGGACTGATAATCTTTCACCCTGTGGCAGCTTGTGGTTCACGTGTTCATCGTTGTTACTGAGAGACACGGGTATCTATCCCAGGTAAGTGTGTTGAATTATTCAACAAAACCTATTTTAAAGAGGTCTACCTCTAGAATTTCTGTATCTGAATTAGAGAGTTAGGACGTACGTTTAACAATCTGTGGTTAGCTGAAAGCCAAAATTTCCTGAACTTCCGGGTAGGTTTTACATGGAATCATTGATAATGTATATTTATCTCGTAAAACCTCAAAATAATTAAAATTTATTCCTTTTTTTTCTTCCTTGCATAAATTTTTTCTTATCTAAATTATTCAAAGTTAAATATATACGCAAAAATAATGTTAAATCTGTACATTTCATTACATAAAACACTAATATGTATATTGTTAAAAAGTCGATGAAATTTCTTTTCCGAGTGGGTAACGAAAAACTGAAAATAGAAATATCAAGCGAGTGAGCACTCAAAAGCATGGAAATTAAAACAATCTCTAATAAAAGAAGGTACTAACTAACTAACGACATCTATTAAAGAAAAGAAACGCATCGCATATCTGATTTAAGCGTAAATTATTATCATCTAGGCAAGCTTTTTCAAATACCATAAATTGAGCTTTAAATTAGGGGTCAATAACGTTATGCTGTACGTTAGTGGCCTATCATTGTGTTAAAAAAAATTGTTTAATGGAAAAGTGAAAACGGTCTTAAAATTATTTCAGGTGATAATTAGTAGAACAAAATTCGTAGCTGATGCTTATACATAATTAACGAACTAGAATGTTTAGTGTTTCATTAAAAACAAAACAATAAAAAAGAACAAACTTAGCGCGGATCAGCAATAGAGGATACTTTAAAAATAACAACTTAACTATTAGATATGATAGCATGATATTGCTGCTTTAGCTAAGCAAAAACAATACATTTAGGTTCAAATGGTAATGATCCCTTTAGTAGTGTAAGTTATTTTTATAATATCTCAGTATCATCATAATTTTGCCTGTTTCAGATAATAATAAAATTCTAATAAGATTAATTAATTCTACTTGAATTTTTTTTTAAAATTTAAATAAAATACAAACCTGTTAGAAATTAAAACATTTAGTAGCCAACACTGAAATTGACTGTTACTAAATTTCGTTGACTGAACTATCTTATGTAACAGATGTGTAGCTCGTAAGATTTTTCAAATTTATTGATAGCCTCTAGCGCAAAATGTTTCAGATCCTTACTTTAAACTTTTGATGCAGATGGGACACCGGTGTTCCTTTCATATTTTTTTTCTGACTCTTAATTACAAGCAAAAATATATCATGGTATTTTTTTATTATAAAAAACAGTCTAATAGTTACTAAAAATGTCTGTTAGAGTATCGGAATTACATTTGTACTGAAAAAAAGTAGTATAAAATTTCTTTTTCTCATTTATATTCAAAATTTTATCAGTAACTGATTTTGTAAATAAATTTCAATGATGAAAAACTGTTTCTTCTAGATCTAAATAACTGCAAATTTGTGAAATTGTTTAGAATATTTCATTCACAACGCAAAAAAAGGACACCGGTGTCTCATGTTGTATTTCAGAATCATCAACTATTAAGTTGCGAAATATAATATTTTAACTTATTTCGACCTAAATTAATACAATATGTTTAGTAAAAATTCTGCGTCGAAGGACAAAGCAATATCATTCTTATAGTGTGAGATTCTGTAATTCATCATTTAATTTAATTTCGCCGTTTTCTGATTTATTTCATCTACAGGACGTTCTCCCATCGTGTCTGGGCATGTTTGTGGTGGATGATGTGCTTCTTTCTTGCTATAGCTTACGTTTCTCACCTTAGTGCCTCCCTCTTACAGACAAGGAGAAGCATCACAACTACCCATTCTATTAAGAAGTCTCAGGAAGTCATTCAAGTAAGAAGTAATTTACAATCAGTCTTGGACACCAGAGCGTAAAAATCACGTTGATCACAAAACTGAAATAATTTATTACAGATTACATGCAACGTTGACGAAATTACAGAAAGTACAAAATGATTTTGATTTCAATTCAAGGCGGGAAATCTTTCAAAAATTGTGAGGAAAGTAGGAGTACTTGCGCTAACTCTTAACAATATTCATAAATGCGAAAATAATCGCGGGATTTAAAGAGATCTGACTAGTTAAGAAACTCAAATGGTAACGGGAGCTCTGTGCCTGCTGGCAATACAAGTTACTGTCAAATTCTGGTCACTCCAAGCACTGAATTTTATTGGCAATCGAAATTTCTACCACTTTTGATATATGTATTATTCAACTAAAACAAGTTGGCTAGAGTGATTAAATCGTTGTTGGATTTCTATGCACTGATATTATCTTTGAAAATACGGAATCGCCTATTTTATTTTAAGCAATGGCTGTTCCTAAACAAACGAGAAAAATTCGCTTTCTCATTTGTTTAGTCTCATGTCTCTCTCCAGCGATCTATTGAAATTTTCGAATGGTTCTGGGGGTTCGGTGGCTAAAACTCCTTTCACCTACTGTCCAAATTTCAGGACACTAGCACAAACAGTTCAGCCAAACACACACACAAACTCTTCCTTTTATTAACATACATTTTTTTCTCATGCAGGACGCACTTGAAAAAGGTAAACCAGATCTAGGAACTCTAATTGCTGGATCAACTAATCAGTTCTTTATGGTAAGATATATTTCATTTTATTTTTCACTAGTGGTGATGAATAATCGATGTTACATTTAACGAACCCCTAATTTTGAACCTAACTCAGCTGAGTGCCTTAAACGTTAAATAAACCTTTAATATCAAGCTATTCCATGCTACTCAACCAAATACAGGGTGTCACAGTTAAACGTTCCAGAACTCCTAAGAGGGGTGGGGTGCATCCTGACGACTCGAAATCATATAGCAATGTGGGGTCGGAAGTGCTTTCCTGAAGCGGTGATATACACAGAAGCACCATAAAGAAAAAGAGACCGTAAGTGAAAAATCGTTTTAATAATACATTGAAAAAAGCATAAGGTACATGGGTCAAAGTAAGTGTTCGAAGTTTCTGCCACCGGCTACAATGCACACCTTACATCTCCGGTGCATGGACATCCGAACATTCTGCAATACTCCAGGTATATCTCGAATTTCTCCGGCAGCTACTGCTACTGCGATTCTTGCAACCAGCTCCTCAGCATTGTCAACAGGGGTGTCATAAACCGGTGTTTTCATATGACCCCAGAAATAAAGATCAAGACATGATAGGTCGGGTGACCGAGGAGGCCAACGCACTGGAAAGCATTTCCGACCCCGCATTGCTATATGATTTCGAGTCGTCAGGATGCACTCTACCCCTCTTAGGAGTTCTGAAACGTTTAACTGAGACACGCTGTATACATTAATGTTTAGAATTCTTCTCAAAAATTGAAGAAGAAAAAATACATAAAACAAAAATATTGAAATCGTTAGAATCGCTTCTGAGGAAGGCAGTATAGAAAACAGTATAACATATTTATTATTATCTAGTTAAACTTTGGGGTGTTTCTAATAATTATACTCTCTTTTCCTTGTGTATGACAGAATTTGTTCGCATTAAAAGAAAAGAAGAAAAATAAAATAATAACAATAAAGTTCGTATACAAATGTAAAATGTATTTTCCACAAAATTTTTAAGTTACTTGAATTATTACTTTCTGCATTAAAAGTTAAAATTGGTTCCAAGTATAACACTCTCCCCTAATGCCTATAATAATACGAAAGGAGGTCATTATAGTTTGTCTAAAATAAGAACTCCTCCAGACATTCGTCTGGACCTGTGGCAGTGACTATGGTAACGAGGTATGACTATTTCAAGAAGGGGTGCAGGGTCACTGTTTTGGAGTGGTTTCGGGTCGGCAAACGAAAGGGTATCTTTTTCTTCGGTCTATTTGTGTTAGTCCTAAGAGTGAAACTACCCTTCCTAAAATGCACCATTCTTGTTTCCATAGCACCAGACGGCCTCAGACTTTGTGGCAGGAGGAGTTCTTAGCTTAAACATCTACACATTACGGGCCGAGTCACTGATTAAATAAAAACAAACGTTTGATGATTTTTTATCGAATGCAAAACTTTTTTCATTTTAAAAAGGCTGCTTTTTATTCTCCTCTTTAGAACTCAAGCATCGGAATGTATGAGAGGTATGGGCGATATATGGAGAAAAATCCAGATGTTCTGACCAGAACATACGCAGAAGGAGCGAAAAGAGTTCGAGAATCGGATGGAGCTTATGCTTTCATCATGGAATCACCATCCAGTGACTTCTATGCCAACACTCAGCCATGTGACCTGTTTGTTTCTGCTAGTTATCTCACTACGAAGACTCACGCTATAGCCTTGCCAAAGAACTCTAATAACAAGTATTTTATTACCTTTGAAATTTTACATATAGCATAAATATCAAACTTTTAAATATTTTTTACTCTCCCCCCTCCCCTTTGTCACTAAGTGTCACGCTATTCTATATAAATATAGAGCATATTTCACATTTTATTTTTTGACTCCAATTATGTGTATTAATATCGAATGTGAGAACATCAATATCAACTATTATTACCACGTTTATATCAACTTGCCTTCGTGTATGTCTGTTAGGGTCGAATTTTGTAATCGATTTTAAGCTAACTTCCTGACTAGCTACAGATCTCAAATCTGGCGCATAGTTCAGAATTGGATGACAATGCATGAAACTGAAGAGAAAGAAGACATACAAAGTAAAATAAAATTAAAGAAAAACTAATATTTTCGCGATTGTTTTTTGTTGTTGATTCGATTATTTCAAATTAGTGTCACATGTCAGTTGAAACGTTTCGTGTACAGTGAGTGAAAAAATATTGAGATTTTGGAAGTGAGTACAAAAATAAAAATAACATTTTTAAAAATTACGTTTTTGTAGTGGAGAATAATAAATAAAAAATTGACAAACGAAAACCGTGGGACGCATGAAATACATAACAGTACATATATACACATCTTCTTACTCATACACATGCATATACACAAACATATTCTACATACACATCCACATTAAGATACAATTACAGATATACATACACATATTCTCATGAGCACACATACACACACTAATATAACATTACTGTAATGTATTTCATGCGCCCCAAGTTTTTCGTTTTTCAAATTTTTATTTTTTATTATTATTCTCCACTACAAGAACGTGGTTTTTAAAAATGTTATTTTTTATTTATGTATGATTCAATCAGAATGAGTTAGCAATTGTAGAGAAGGCTTAGCGGACGAGTTCACTTTTTCAATGGTTGGGAAAGTGATAGCGCTTGGAATATGAGCAAAATAGTACGTCAACACATTGGCATACATTTCATTCTTTGGTTCACTAGAATAGAAACCTGTATTTAATTAGTTGGAATTGATTTCTTTTACATTTTTCTTTCTGAGCAACACAAAATGTCTCTTAAAGAGAAAACAGTGTGTTTCAAAGAACAAATCATAAGTCAAAACCATAAACATAAGCTGTTTTTGAAAAACAAAATCTAGTAGACATAAACTTGTTGATTATTTTTTTAATATATTTTCTTTTTATTGATTATAAATTATATTGCTGGCTGAGCCCTTATCTCTTTTTTTCACTCTCACGATGAATGCTGTATTTCCAAAAACTCGTTAAAAATCATATAAATCGATTTAGTTAGTTTTAATCTATTTTATTATATGAAAAATAGTAGACATAGAAATATAATATCAAAATTATTAACCAACTCATGTTGGATGTTTTTATTTTATACAAAATGTGTGAACGTACCCATATAAAAGCTTTTTAAATGTTTACATTTGAATATTTTTTCTGCATTTTAGAGATATGATAGATCATGGCGTTCTGTTACTGTTAGAAAGTGGTACTCTCCGCATGCTCTATGAAAAATGGTGGCATACCTATTCTTTCAATTGTGAGGATCCTAACATGGACATCTTAACCGTAAGTTTTCTATTCATGAAACATCACGCTAGTACATAATTAAATAAAACATGCATCACTTATTGTTTCATTTAAATTGACGCAATAAATGTATATGTTCTATTTATATCAGAAAAATAGCAAAAATAACAAAAAGCAAAGAATGTTTACAGAATTTGATCATGCAAGGCTTAAGTTCAAACTAAGAATTATCATGTGTCTGAAAAAAACAAACTATTTGAAAAATGAATCAAAGGCAATAAATATGAATGGTGAGCTGCATTTGCTTTAAAAACCAGAACACTTATACATCTGAAAATAGTTAACTAAGTTCGAAAACTATGAACATTTTTTTTTTGCTGAATTACAGGCTATTACATATTACAACTGAAATAGTCACACAGACAGCAGCTATTTATATTTTTAAAACCGCGCTACTTTGCAAGAAAAGGTTCTTTAGAAAAATATGATTAAAAATTTTTATGTTTTAGCAGCACCATCTGTATACAAAATTTGTAACTAATTTCATAATTTACTGAGAATAAATTATATCATATTCTCACCTTAGCAGAATATAGCAAATTGTATTTTTTATTTCCTTGCATTTTTCTTGTCTTTTCAAAGCATTAATTATTTTTAAGACATGCAGTACAATTTGCTGTTTTTTTTTTCTCTTAATAGATAAGGTTTTCAACACAAAAATAAAATGCCTTAACTCTATTCCCATTAGACAACTACTGTACAAGGAAATAATTTTAAATAAAAGACTTTTTTACAATTTGGTAACTCAAAAACTATTCAACAGTTTTCGTAAAAATTTTGTATTTTGTCAAAATTTTATTCTTTAAAAAAAATTTTTTATAAAGGAATTTTATAAATTTCTTTCAGATCATTTTGCAATACAAAAAGTTCAATGACATTTCTACAGATGAAAAAAATCATATTTTCAATTATTAAGGTTGCTTATTCTTAGTGTATTCAATTCCTGGTTAAAAAGAAGCAAAAATGAATCATTACATTGCAGATTAAAATTATATATTTTTAAAAGGTTGGTGGATGCACTGAAATTAACATATTTTTTTTTCCCTTTGCAGAAAGTTTACAACAAGTCCCTAAGACTGCATGAAGTTTCAGGAGCCTTTTACATACTAATAATAATAACTCTCGTATCATTGGCAGCAGCTGCTATTGAAAAGTACACATCCGCTAAAAAGATCACGCTTGACTAACTGAAAACATCATATAAAGATCTCGTGTATTTGATGAGTTGTTCAACTGACATAACTGCTGGAAAGTGAAATTCTGTACAAAAGATTTTGTTGATTTTATGCTTTACTTATAGTATGATGTCATTATTTATTGTTAGAAATAAAGTTACAGGTATTTTTATTAATATTTTAGCTTATCAGTTGTTTTTTTAAAGAAAACATTTAAAAAATTTGTTTGCTTGTGTTTTTTAAAGAAAAACACAAGCAAACATTTCAATGATAAAGCACTCATATATTAGGAAGGAAAACTGTAAGAATTGTATTACATGTTTTGTTTAAAAATTAATTAGATTAGTTGCTAAGAAAATGAAACTAAATTCCATGTTAAATTGATTATAATAGTGTGCCTAGTTGCCATATTGTGGTATTAGAAAACTAGAATACATTGTTCCATGGAATCCAAAAATTTTTTTTTACAATGAATTCCACAAACAATCTTTGATAGCATGGCTGAGGTAACTCTAAAAATATTTGCTTTAGTTATTTTCTCCGACAAAAACACAACAATAAATTTAATAAAGAATTACTGATTAACTCAATATTTGAACTGGTGCAAAATCACTATCTGCTTAAACTGGCAACTATAATTGTGCCCAGAGATTTTTATAAGGGTGGGCCATTTTAGTTATAAACATTTTCACAATACAAAAAAAAAAAGAAAGAAAGAAAGCAGGTTCAAAAAGTCATCTTTAAAATTTTAGAATGAGGTGACCAATCTTCGAATCCTAGCGATGGCTGGTTAATACGTATTCTACTCCCGGCTTGCACTGGCTAGAGTGCTGACGTAAGATATCTTTAGTGGTAGACAGATCATGCGTTAGAACCCCCTACCCGTGAGAGGCTTTTCTCTCCATTTAACTCAAGTACTGGTTAGTTCTATCAAAAAGTTATTTGATACAGGAGTTCCCTTGTCTTCTGGATTGGGTTCAAAATTACAAGATAATGGAGATGACGAGTGAATAAATTTCAAAATAGCAAGATCACTGCGTATAGGAAGGGAGATGGTATTGGCTAGCGTTTATTTAATTTCGGCTATTGAATTTGTTTTCACATGCGCTCCAGACTTATTTCATTCTCAAAATTTTTTACATAATATCAGTACTAAGTTTTACCTTGAAGAGCAAAAAAAGAAAACAGGTATACCTGCCTAATATCGTGCAGGGCCCCCGCGAGCACGCAGAAGTGCCGCAACACGACGGGGTATGGATTCGATTAACGTGTGAAGTAGTGCTGGAGATAATTGACATCATGAATCCTGCAGGGCTGTCCATAAACCAGTGGGAGTAAGAGGGGGTGGGGATATCTTCTGAACATCATGTTGCAAGGCATCCCAAATATGTTCATGTCTGGGGTGGAACGTAGATCTACCTCCACGTGGTGCACCCTGGGCAACGCTCTGGCGGCTAAATGATCTACAACTCGGGCATGGGGCCCTCGCTGAATAGTAACTCATTGTTGCGTGTATTACAGTGAAATGCGGGTGGACTGTCCCACTCCAAGAAAGCTGAGCTCTGCAAAATGAAAGCTCTGTCGCCTTGGGCAGGACATGGACCTGCCCCATATTTCCGTCTGTCCTGCGCTCATCTCCACTACTGTGAGGCTAGGGTCCGTATGGGCTAAGCATGTCACTATGCATTCTATTCATCTCTTTTTGCCTTGTTTTTCTTCTATTTTATCCTTTTTGTTCTTTTAAATTGGCCTGCCATTGGAAATAAAATAAAAAAAAGTGTTCATATCCGGGGATTTTGGTGGATTTCCGATACTCCCGATATACTCGTGAAATGGTCGTACGTGAAAACCCAAATTTCATTGCTATCTCGGAGATGCTATGTCCCATGTCCCTTGCGCCGACTATAACACCACGTTCAAACTCACTTAAATCTGTATAACCTGGCATTGTAGCAGCAGTAACCGATCTAAGAACTGTGCTAGACACTCGTTGTCTTATATACGCATTGCCGATTGCAGTGCTGTACTTTGATTGGCTCCATACCCCTTTATTTGCATACTCATGCCTGTACGAGTTTTTTTTTGGCTCTTCAGTGTATTTTCACAACTTTTGACTCTAATAGAAACTATCTCAAAATTGTGTGAATTGAAAATAGTATTTCTTTTGCACAATTTTAATAATCAAAACAAATATTTATTTGGTCGTATGCACGATACATTCTATACATTTGAAATGAGAAAAAAATACTATTCACAGTCACAGATCTTATAAAAATTTAACCCCTATATTACTGTTACTATTTTTTTTTCACCATCAGTGCATTTACAAAATTCAGTTAATTGCATTATTGTTTCCTATTGCACAGCCATTTCTGTCATTAAAATTAATTTTTTGGAAATATTAGGTCAAAACACATGTTTTAAAATCAATTTAGTAATATATCTTCACACTGCAATAAAATCAATAACAAATTTATTAAATAGAAATAAAGAAAATGAAAAGCTAATTTATTGAGGCAAAATTTTCAGCTATTTTCTAAAATTGCATCAACACCTTCCACCTTTTCTGTATTATTTTCCTAATAAATTATTAACCAACAACTCTTACTCTGTTACAGAGACTAACAGTGGGACCACCCCTATATTTATGCTCAATTAAAACATACTGTTTTGAACCTCTGCTTCTATCAACACCTACGAAATGACATATATATACATCGGACAGCAGCTTTTTAAAGCAGACAATTATTAATTCAATCATCTATAATTTCTTTATTTGCAAAGAAAAATAAAGCATGGTGATAGTCCTTCTCATAGTGCAGTGATAGATTTTAGTAGCTAATTTATTAAAAAAAAAAATTCTGATTTTTTGAAAAAAGTTGTTTTTGCCTAGATTTTGACGAAAATAGTTGCCTTTTATTCATATCCGTCTTTTAATTCAACAGCAACAACCCTGTGAAAGCTCTTTATGTGGATTCAATATTGCAACTACAACAACGAATGGGAACTATAAATTATCAATTCAAAAAATAAAAAAAAAGTTTTGTAACAAATTTTTTTTGAAGGCATTGGTACCATAATAAAATTAAGAAAAATTTCTTTTTATATTTAATTGAACAATATATTAAACACTAATAATAACTTCAGAAGTTCTATTATTTTAAACAATACATATGAAAGCAATGCTGAATTGCAAAGAAGAAAAAAAAGGTTAACCCATTGTGATTGTATGGCAGAGAGTTCAATCAGTGATTCTTAATGAATATCAACAAAATACAACTGCATTAGTACTCAGAATTTAAAATGCTTTGCTAATGTTAAAACACACAACTCTTTTGAATTATGTAACAATTTATTGATACAATAAACAAGCGAATCAGTGAGAAATACAATAAGAATGCAGAAAGAAAAAAAAAACAATTACATTATGGTTCAAGATTTTGCGGCTGCTGAATTAGCTTGTTGTGCGGCTAATGTTGCTTGGATTTTGCTCTCCATGGTTTCAATTACAACTAAAAAGAAAAATTAAAATGCAATTTTTCATTAAAAATGAACTAAAAGTGAAATCTTGTTTTGAAGAGTAATCAGTACAGTTCTTTTAGATTAGCTACATAAGAAATTTATACATTTAAAAATGAAAAAGCCATGCAATTTAATCAATGTACAACTTGTTGATGAATAAAGCAGCAATTCAGAGATAAATGATAATTATCTAGGAATCAAGATAAGCATATATCAAACTGCTTCGTAATCTTGTTTAGATTTACTTATATTAAATTTTCTTTTCTTTTTTTTTTAGAAAAAGAAAACTAATTTGATCATATATCACCAATGTTAAACAGATTAGTCACAGATATTACTTTCAATTGAAATCTAAATAAATAAGATGAATTGATATTAATACATTAATTTAAATTAAGTTTAATTTATGAAATAAAATTTATCCTAGGTTACATAAAATCATTATTAATTAAATTCCATTCAAAAAGTAGAAAAATATATATAGAGAAGTTTAAGAATTAAAACCTTTACATTTCCAGATAAATAGGAGGAATTGAAAGGCTATGTTTTTCAAATAATTATAACTTATAAAACTTTTATGAGTGAATCTTTAAAAAAGCATAATTATGTCATAGAAATTCGTTAGCCATCCCATAAAAGTTAACTAAAAAAAATAATTAGATTTTGTAGCTTGACTTTTTCAAAATCAAATATAAATGCAATATTTTCAGAAATTATTTTTACTTTTACAAGCACCATATTTGGACAGTGTGCGAGCAACATGAAAAAAAAATATATATATATAAACACAATAACTTTTGATCTAATGATCGAATCTTCACCTTCTGAGGACTCAACCTTAATGGTACGAGGGGGTGAACTGAAATATGCTAATTAATAAGTGGAGACAATATTTTAAGTTACAAAGTCAGACACAAAAACATGCTTTCTTTGAATGAACATACCTTTTTTTTCCAGACAGATTCTGATTTCTGTCCCACAAAAATAGGGGGTGGCTGCAATCTGGGAAATATGGTCCCATTAGTTTGGGGCTAGGAGAGCTTGAATCCTTTAATGTTAATTTTACTTCTTACTTATTTTGAGAACTTTTAAAGTGAATTAAAAAAAATTCGCACATAATTCTAAAATTCGTTTATCTAAAGATAAATCCACGCAAAAAAAATAACTTTTCGTAAATATTTTTTATTATTACATTTAATAATGGTAAGGTATAAAAAATTTTCCATCATTTTAAAGAATATAACTTTACATGGCACAGTAAAAAATTTAAGCAAAATAGGTTGATTAGCTCCTGAGTATTTGAACTTTAGAAATATCTAACTATATATATTTTTCTTGGAGGGGAGAGGGGGGAGTAGAAACCCAAATCCATCCAAAAAGCACGTTTTTGTGCATGATTTTTAACTTAAAATATCAACTGCACTTAATAATTAGCATATTAGAGTAACCTTGTCGAACCATTTAGATTGAGTTCAAGAATATAAAGATCCAATCATTACATCATAATTTAGTCCTTTTTTTTCACGCTGTACATTTTTATTAATATTAAATAAGTTATAAAATTTGTTTTCTTTTAGTTAATAATTTATATTTATTTAAAAAATTAATTAATAGAAAATTATTTAATTAAAAAGTATTTTATACCAATTTTTAAATAAAATATTATAAATTTACTTAATATACAACATATCAAAAGTTATCCATAAGTTGTGTCTTTTAAAATATATCAATTGAAATTATTAAAAATGCAAGTGATTTTGTTTTCAATATTCGTCCAAAACGAATATTCAGCATTTGAGCAGTATAAGATAGATACCAAATATTTGTATGATGCACCTCTAATTTAGTAGCAGTAATCAGTATTTATTTTTGAAAATTTAATTTTTTATATTATTATAATTTTACGGTGTTGAGTATAATCTTGTATCCATTAACAATTTAATAACACTTTGATAGTGTTTTTTGCAATTTTCACAATGACAGGACCCAATTTGTAGATATTCACCGAAGCTGGACCCTGGTTGAAAGAACACGACTTAACAATAATTTTAGATTCACATATTATGAGCAGTATTTTCATAATTTTACAAAAACAGGAAATTTCACAAAATGTCTGGACAGACCCCAGAAAATACTAATACTGTTTTATGAATGGATATGGTCAAATTCGAATTCTATTATTCCTACAAATATAACATAAAAATAGAAACTGAAGGATTATTTTGTTTATCAGATTAATTAATGAATCACATTAGCAATCAGTGTTTTCACTACAGCGCGAGAACGCGAGAATCTCGCATATTTTTTCCTTTTCTCACATTAAAAAATTATTACTGTGAGAAATTCGCGCATTCTATAAATCAATTTCAAAATTCGCGAATTTCTCGCATTTTGGAAGAAGCTTCGAATTACGCTATTTAGAATAAAATCCGTTTCACTTTTCTTCCTGGATCTCTTATTATTTTCAACTTTTGCTCTGTTATCTAGCTTCCCTATTTACCAGCATTGTTCAGAACCTTTTCGAACAGAACACAACTGAACCACGGAACCCCTTTCAGAACACATTTCTCTGCAACCACGTGTTTACCGTAGGTAAGGTTTTTTCATGTAACACGTTAAAATTTTTTATGCACTAATGTAAGATGGACAAATACCTAGTAAAGGCAAAATCTTTTATGATGATGCAGCAAGAATATTCAATGCTTTAAAAAATAGAAGACGTTAAAAATGTATTATAATAAAAGAAATGATTTTTTTTCCAAGTCTATTTGTGTTTTTTAGGTTTTTGGAAATCTCACTTAACTTTCTGAAATCTCACCCTGTTTTTGAGAAAGGGTGAGAAATTCTCACCCATTTTTTTTTCTATGATGAAAACACTGGCAATAATTACAATATTTAATCAACTGTAGAAATATGCATATCGAATACTGTGCATAAGTTACATTGTTAGAACAGTTATTTAAAGCCTCCAAGGCCTGAGCGATATATATACAAACAGAATTAAGAGGAGTTAATTAAAAATAATAATTTAAGAAAAAGTGCAGAATTAAATAAGTTAATAACAATCATAAAATAAAAAACTTTTTTAAAGAAAGCTTAATACATAGAAGCTCTTTTCCACTTTTGATTCACGAGTAACAGTTTAAATTTATTTTAATATTATACAAATACTATTTATAGATTTAGATCCATGGGATTTTTCATGTTACAGATTAGTTTGTGATAAATATGTGTATTAAAAAATCTTTGCATACCTTCTCTAGCTATAAGTTTTTCTTTCATAATCTGTTGAACTTTTTCAATTTGTGTTGTAACAAATTTAACTTTTCTTTTAAAGTAATCAATAGCATCTTTTAAATCCTGGAAAAAGATTTGATTCAATAGATTAATAATGATGAAAGTTTCAAGGCAATAATGATGAACGTTTCAAGGGAATTTTAAACAAATCATAAAAAAAAATTTTAATATGAGAGAAAAGAAAATATTTCTGACATTAAAATATTTGATTTAATGATTTTAATCATTAATTATTAAAGAAGCATAAGAACTTAACAGAATGCATTCTTAAATCTCATCTTATTTTTCTATAGATTGAAGTTATTAAAACAATTAAGAAATTGTAAAAAGGATTAAAAGATTAAAGTAACTTAAGATATTTACAAAAACAATTTATATACCTTCTCAACATAATAGCCAGTTCCAACATCTATTAAAACTTTCTTTGTGTCATCTAATTGTCCAGGTACATACATCTTTCATTAATTAAAGAAAATGAATTTCCTTTTTAATTAAAGCTCAAAAATAAGAGAAGAGAAGAAATCATGGTTTGTTAAAATATTATATAATACATGTTTGAATATATTACATATAAGTGGGAAAGTAAAAAAGATGTAAGAGGGCCAAGTAAAAGCTAATGTTCCCAAACGAAGTTTAAAACATAACATTTCTGCCTACTATAGTCCATTCCACCTTAAGTTGGCACTGGAGAGAAAGGTAGGTACACAGGATTACAGCCGTTGTCATGGAAACTGGGCTACTCTTTAAGTCAGTTAGGGGATGAGGTAGCAAAAAAGGGAGAGAAAGTGGCCAGTATTGGCGTTTAAGAAAGCAAAACGCCGATATTTTTTTAAACCAAGAATCGTACTAAAATTTTGAACAGAATACGGAAAAGAACACGATTTTTTAGAGCATTTCTAATAATTATTATTTTAAGATACTAGTTGTAAGCTGATTTCTTAATTAGTATTTAAAAAGCAGACTTTCTTATTATGATTTTTTAACTAAACGAAACTAATTTTAAACAACAGAAATAATACAGTAGGGAACCGATTATCCGGAACGATCTGGACCATCGCTATTCCGGATAACTGATTTTTCCGGTTTTCTGAATCGCTACAAAAAGCCGTTTTTTTATTGTTAAACCCAACTAAAAAAAAATTTGGGGGGGGATAATCTTAAAAAGAAGAAAAAACGATGAAGTAATACACTAATGATTATTTCCAAAATGATGGTAAGGTGAACATCTTTCAAAAAAGAAAGAAAAATCCTAAAATCTTATGAGGAAAAAAATTTTTTTTTTAAAAAATGGCGGAAAAATTTAACGAATTTCGTTCCGGTTTTTTGGTTTTCTGATTTCCAGATAACGGGTTCTGTACTGTATATATATCTTTTTCGCTGAAATCTATTTTATATGCTTATATTTTGAAGATTAATGTACATTAATTTATCCCACATTGGTGTTTTGATAGGGAAGGAAAAATTAGCAGTACAGGAAATTATTGATCAGGAAAAAGATCATACTTATGTTTTATAATATTTACTGTTCTTTTTTTTCTTATTATTATGATTTTTTAATTAAACGAAACTAATTTTAAGCAAAAAAAAATACATTTAAAAAGATTATTTTTTGCTGAAATCTAAGTATAAAAAAGGAAATGCATAGATGAGCATAAATATGTGTTTTAAATATTTATTTTTATATGCTTATTTTTAGTAAATTAATGTACATTAATTTATCCCTCATTGATGCTTTGTGGGGGAAGAAAAAGTCAACATAGGCAGGAAATCATTGATCATGAAAAATATCATATCTATGTTTTTTTAATAAATAAAAAATTCAATTTTTTTTTCAGAAAAGTTTTTTTTTTCACTATAAAAATAATTTTTTCTGAAATATATTTGCTTCTAAGAGACAAAAGAACTTACCTAAAAAAAATAATTCTCAAAAATGGTATAAACTTTCAGTATTATCCACATGGGGGGCGAGTACTGCTTGTACGCCCCCCCCATTGTTTTCAGCTGCCATATCCCACCCTCTTAGACTCAACAGGAACTCTTTGAATAACATGATAAACACCTATCCTGGTGCTTATCATGTTATTCATTTAATATTTTAACAGTTGACAGTTCCTTCTGCAAACTCTTTGTGGAGTTGCCCTGAATTGAATTCAATCCACAATTTCTCATCAGGAGAAATTCTACTTGGGTGGTTACGTGCATTTCTTCAAAAGAAAATACATATTTTAAAATATTAGAACCTTCCTTTACTTTTCAGGATCTTTGCGGGTGAAAAGAGGTTTAAGAGAAAAATCCATATTATTAGTTATTTAAGTATAGTAGAATTAGTTAGTCTCGAAATATTTTGTCAGATACTAAAATATCTTAATATTTTCTACATAAGAGAAAGAATTTCTCCGCTTTTTTGGCTTTGTATTTCAAAAATAATAATTAAAATATTGATTGGTTTAAATTAACCCTTTGATATTTAAAAAAAATTAATGATTCAAATGTTGTGTCTTTTTTTAAATTATTTCAATTCCTATACATTTTATTAGTTTATAACTAACGGATTTGCACACTTATATTATGGAATTTGTATTTCAGATAATATTTAAAAGTCCCTTTAATTAAACAAACTAAAAATATTAAATTTCCGCCATCACATTATTAAAGTTCCTATGAAAAGCGAATTGTACTTCAGAGCTACACATGGCGCAAAAGACACAAAATTTGAATCTTCACAGAGATTGAATAAAGCGAAAACAATTTTTACTCTTGTCATAAAAAAATTATAATAAAATCACATGTTGAATTAGCTACACAGCAAATATGCTCAACTGTCATCAGTTTAATAATATTCACCTGTGTATTTGGGTTTTTTTTTTTTCATTCATTCTGAAGGGGGAAAATTTTTCATTAAATATTGTACACATGATGTTAATATTTAGAAAATTAAATAGTCAAATATAAAAAAGAAAGCGAAATAAGAACTGCACAAGAGATAGAACACCTAAGCAAAGTCAAGGAGAATGGAAAGAGCTGGCTGACCAGTGTAAAAACATAGCTAATGCGCCAATTCCTTGGCCTTGAAAACTAATCCAGCGCTAAACTAAAACACCTCCTTCTTCTTTGTACATTCGCCTTACTGAGAAGGTATTTATAAGTTAAATACATTTAAACATGAAAAACTTCTAATGCATGTTTCAAGATGAACTTTTTTTACTATACAACATTTATTTATATTTGTACGCACATTTAAACTGCAATTAATTCCAAAATAGCGAAGAACTACTTTTCAAATGCGGAGTATTACATTTCCTACCCTTCCCTGCAGTGCCAACTTAAGGTGGAATGGACTATAGCTAAGTATCCTAATTTTTTTTAAATAAGCTTTCTTTCCAATGAAGCAAAATTTTCTAAATAAAACAACCAATTAAAAAAAAAAAAGTCAAGAGGTGCTTTGAAGGAGAAAAGCTTTCCCATTATTTAATATATATATATATATATATTAAAATACATTTTTAGTGCATAATAAATGGTTCTTATGAGAATTAATTGTAGAAACAAATAAATTTACATCTTCTTCATAAGCGCAACAGCCTTTCACAGGCCAAGGCTGACTCGCAGATTTTCCTCCATCTGGCCCTGTCCGGTGCGACGGCCCGCCATCGGTTGACTCCCAATAGCTTGAGGTCCTTTTCAACGTCGTCTATCCATCTTGTAGGTGGTCGTCCCCTACGTCTCGTCCCTTCAATTGTGGAAAAAGTCACTTTTTTGGCAGGGACGGCATCAGAATTTCTGAAGAGGTGGCCCAGCCACCTAATGCGTGATGCTTTAATAGTTCTCACAATGTCGGTCCCACCGAATTTGTCATATTTTTTGTAAATTTCGTGGTTGTAAAGAATTCTCCATACGTTATTCTCTTGAAGAGATCCAAAGATTTTCCTCAAAATTTTTCTTTCAAAAATTAGCAGTTTTTCCTCCTCTATTTTGCTTAGGGTCCAGCACTCACTTCCATACGTAGCTATAGGCCTGATTAAAGTTTTGTAGATGTTTAACTTTGTCTTCACACTGATGAACTTGGATTTCAGTTGGTTTCTGAGGCCGTAGAAACTTCTGTTAGCCATGGAAATTCTGTTATTTATTTCGATTTTCAGGTTGTTGTGGCTAGAGATCAAGGTTCCTAAGTACTTGAACTGGTTAACAGTTTCAAAAGAGTAAGTCATTATCTCCAGAGGAGATCGATCAGGAGTTTTATTTGTTGCGATCAAAAACTTGGTTTTGTCTGCATTTATAACTAGTCCCATCTCCTTCGCCGCACTCTCAAGCGCTACAAAGGCGTCAATGACTGAGCGCTTTGTTCTTCCAACTATGTCGATATCATCAGCAAAAGCGAGTAGTTGGACAGTTCTTTGTAAGATTGTTCCATTTGTGTTGATACCAGAGTCTCTAATGGCCTTTTCCAAAGCTATGTTAAATAGCAGGCAAGAAAGGGAATAAATTTACATACTAATCTAATTACAATTGCTTACAACATTCCAAGCATTTTTATATCCATTTTTTAAAAATTTCAAAATTAAACTTTCTATCTGGAGTTTTCTATCTTTCTATCTATCAGAGTTTTTTCAACTATTTATCTGGCTGGACAGTGTAGATAGATTTTATTTTATAACCATTGTTGAATAGTCCTGCCCAATTTTGAGTTTACGACTACTGATGTCTAACTGCCTAGTCGTGTAATTTTGAACAAACTGCAGAAGACAAGATGGATATAGATGGCAAATAGATAGACAGTGTTTTTGTAGTTAGTTATGTTTTAGTTATTACTAAGTATAATTTTCTTACTATGCATTTATAATTTTAGCTTGTTAATAAACATAGTTGCACAGCTTTATGTGAATTGAATTCTTCATTTTAATATATATCTGCATTATATGTGAAACATATAAGTTGGTTCGTTTTTTCAAGAGGTGTGAGTGTGGAATTTGTATAAACCAGCTTTTTTTTTTTTTTAACAATGTTGACAATTATATAATTCGAATAATCATAAACAAACATTTATTTTAAATTTCTTTTAAATATAGAGAATCAAAAAATATATATATTAAGTTTTTCTCAATTTGATAGCATTTAAAAAAATAAAACATCAACATATATACTTTCCAAAAAAATAAGAAAAGCAAGAGACATGAAATAAAAAACGTTAAGAAAAAAAAACTGTTCTCTGACAGAATACTTAATTGTTAGCATTCAAGAACATGATTTAAAAAACACAATTAGTTGTAATAAAAAGTTGCTGATAAATATTATAAACTGATAACAAAAACAAAGAACATTTTTAAGAATATACTTTAGTTTTAGTTTTAATATTTAACACCTAAACTAAGTTAAAAAGAAATAGTCAAATAGAGATCAATAAAATGAAACTGGAAGGATACAGAATCAGTTAGAGGAACAAGCATCGTATTTCCTTCCTTCAAGTGTTGCATTTTCTCTACACATTCTTTTGAATCACTGTATTTCTTCTGTGCTACTTTGAGTTGTTGTAGCGAAGATCCAAGTATTTCAACTTGCTAAAAATTAAAAATAAATGCATTAAAATAGAAATTAAAGAACAAAATCATTCAAAGTTTGCCAAGGAAATTAAAAAAAATAGTATTTTTATTAAGTTTACTTGGGTGACAATATATAATGCAAGCCACATTTATCAAATTAAATTTAAAATCATGGTTTTCAACTATGTTAAAATCTTACAAGTTAAGTATTAATAAGTCAGTTTTTTTTCTTGTTGATAAATTGAAATCTACTAAGGAAATTTTTAAAGGATTACAGGGTGTTTCAGTTAAACTGGTATAAAAACATTTATTTGAAATTATTTATGTTGGAGATATTTCAATTCATTATTTATGCAACTCTGTCCCAGAACTTGAAAATTTTTATAGGAGCTGTCTTTAAGTAGCTACGATTTTGCTCCATTACGTATAAAAACAGAAATATTTCAATTCTGTTTTAACCATGTTTTCCATGTGATGTTCCCATTTTTATGATAAAATAATTTTACTAGGACTAAATTAAGTTGGACTGTTTAAGTTGAGAATTTTGTCCCATGACTAAAGATTAAAAAACGCAAGCACTTTTTTCATGACAAATCCAAAAATCAATCGATTATGACTCAGATTTTGTTTACGATATTTAATATATACACGCAAAAAGCATAATCTATTTCATTAAAAATCCGAATTTGAGCAATAAAGTGTCGTTTTTAAAGCCTAATTTTTGCAATCAAAAGATACGAAATACTTATTTTAAGCATAATTCGTAGATAATATTGATTTTTAAATGACAGGTGCGAAGCAACGTGATGACTTTAGATCATATTATTCGATTATGTACCAAAGCATAAGAATTATAATTCATTAAAACTAATTTAATATAAATAATCTCACGTTATCTAGTTCTTGTTTAAACTGTGTAAGCCGAGGTAATGGCAATTCACTGACATCAACCGTAACTACATTTTCACCGGCCATTTTTAAGAGATTAAGAAAATGTTTTGAAGATTTTGAAAAGGCGTTATCTGCTACCTAGTTTTGTAACCAAAAATCTCATATATTGCTGAGAAACCAGTTGAATCTATTTTTTTTATTTTGAGATAGAAGATCCATCTTTTTCAGCAGGAATGTTTTTTTATCCAAATAATTTATAAACAGGGCACCGAAACAATGCATATTTTAGTTGAAATTGGATGATCCATTTAATGGGCCACCAAGGCCGAGAAGATTATGAGTAGTGTGAAGTAAAAAGCTGAATCTTATGGAGAGAGCATCTCAACTCCGGTGCAGCCACATTGTGTTTCCCTCTAAAAAAATTAAACTTCATTCCTGTAATTCATCAACACAATGGTAAGAAACAATCTTTTATAATCTACTAATTAAATTATATTATAAGATTAAATAATTATTTTCTATTATTGTTTAGACTTGTTCTTTTTGCTCATAATAGTTAGTTTAATGTTATTTACATGAATTAACTTTTCCGATATCATTCTTTTCATGCTATATTTTTCTTTTATAATCACAGGATTTAAGTATTTCTTTGCTGCAATAAATCGAATTTACTGGTAGTTTACATATCATTTTTACTAGTCGGTACTGTAGTAGAATAAATATGTTTTGTTTGGGATGCTTGTTATTTTTCTGTCCATAACTTTATAAATGGGCTTAAATATTTGAACTTTCTGCATGCACTCCTGGCTAAAAATAATCGAATCACCATGGAGTTAAAACACAATTGTCGGGATTATTAGGGAAAAAAAGCCAGGCAAGTGTCATAGTTTGAGCATAATTTTTTAAGTTATGGATGTATAGCAATAAGTCTTAATTTTATTCAACTAATGTGTTGCTGATTTTTCTAGTTGAGTCATAATCATTCTGTAAGATTCAGACCAGTTTTGTTAACTATTGAGGTTCATCAATTTACATATAAAGTTTTGTTGACTAGAATTATTAAAATTCTTTCTTAAGCATATATATTACATTGGATAAAATAGAAAAGATTTTGAATACAATTTTAAATTTGAAAAATATATTCAATGTATTTAAGAGATTAATTTAACCCTTTTTCAAAAAAATTGCTTAAAAGATGTAAATGTAAACAGGAGTTTCTGATACAGGAATAGTGATTCTTATGTGAAACATATATTTTATAATGAATATTGTTTATAATTTGCTTATATGTTAGTTATTTTGTGTGCAAATGTATCTAATGTTGCATTAAATCGATATTTTAGTCCACACACAAAAAGAAGACTAGAAAGTTGAGAGGGCATGTAAGCCATGGTCATGGCAGAATTGGTATGTTCTTTTTTTTTGGTTATTGTTTTTCATTGTTAAAAGTTTTAATTTAAGTATTGTTAGCTATATAAAGTTTCGAGAAGTTGTCTTAAGATTTTTAATTTCTTTCTATTTATAAGGTAATTGACCTTATTATTAGTATTAAACATAGAGACTTGTCTAGTTTTCTCTCTTTTTAAAGGTTTAGAAAGAAAAAGGTACAGTAAGGAACCGATTATCCGGAATGATCGGGACCTTCACTATTCCAGATAACTGATTTTTCTGGTTTTCTGAATTGCCACAAAAAGCCATATTTTTATAATTAAACCCAACTAAAAAAAAAAAAAAGAAAGAAAGAAAGAAACAAACGAAGTAATACACCAATGATTATTTCCAAAATGATGGTAAGGTAAACATCTTTCAAAAAATAAAGAAAATCCTGAAATCTCATGAGAAAAAAGTTTTTTTTAAAGTGGCGCGGGGGAAAATTTATCGAATTTTGTTCCGGTTTTCTAATTTCTGGATTGATGCCAGGTGGCTGAGCGGTAGCACTGTCGTGCCACAGGTCCCTGGTTCAATTCTTGGGCAGGGTTGACTCAGCCTTTCATCCCTTTAGTGGGTCGATAAATGAGTACCAAGCATGATTGGTTCCCAATCATGGGGGTTCTGCGTTCAGATGACCACCTGACCGGAACATCTGCTCCTGCACCCCAGAGCCCAAGGTCATGAAAACTGAGATGGGCACAGTAGGCCTTGGCCCTCTTGGGCTGTCGTGCCGCTGAGTTTAGATTTCGGGATAACGGGTTCCATGCTGTAATTAGTTTCCTGCACAGAACTTTCTGTGAATACAATATCTGTCTGGGGAAAAAAATTCTGTTAGCATTACTTAACTATTATAATTAGATTACACTCTGTCAATCTCACCTCGTTTTGTTAATCAAGAAGAACATATATTAAATTATAGATTCTTTTTCTTCATTTTTATGAAGAGATGAGTTCGCTTTTAAAAAAGAAAAGCTAAAAATTGAATCTAAGTTGTTATGAGAAACATTTTTTAAATAATTAAGAATACCTAAAATTTATGAAGGAAAAAAAATGTATCTAAGAAGATTTTATCCACTGGATGTTATTAATGCTTTAACAAGAATATCAATTTGGTATTATATTATAGGAATAGGTACCTCGAAATTTAGTTTCAAGATCGCATAAAAGTATGTAAATGCGAATCTAATGTTAAAATTGCATGAGTACCAATCTAGATGTTAAAATCATTGAAGACCCAGAGCACAGTGTATCTTATTTCACGTAAATAGTGAATTGCGATTTTAAATCTCTTTTCCATTTGTAGGAAAAAGTTGAAATGAATTTTTTCTCTTAGTGATCTTAACAAAAGAAACAAAATCAGCATTTTTAGCAAATGGCGTGTGTATATTATATAGGTCTGCTTATGCAAGTATCTTGTGATTTAAATCCATCTTGGTATATGAGTGGTCTTATCTTAATTAAGAATTTATAATACAAAATGGTGCTAGCAAATTTGTTGAAGGTTTGTTTTAAATTCTACTAGTTTATTGTTACTTAGCTAAATTTGTTTTTATTATTATTCTTTTTTTTTAATATAGTTGTGTATTAAATTAAAGTATTGCTATTATGTCTTAATGTAAGTCCAAATAAATGTTAGGTTATTTGTGAATTGGGATTTCCAAACAGAATACATCTTAAACATGTCTAGAACATAAACAGAACTTATAGATAAATATAAAAAAGTGCTGTATCAGTAAATAATCATTAATGAAACTAATTGGTGCAACTAATTGTATTTAATAGTCCTAGAAAGTCATAAATTTTACTTTTGTCGTGTTAATGGAAAAGCCTCATTTGAATTTTTATTTTAGGTAAGCACCGCAAGCATCCAGGTGGTCGAGGTAATGCTGGTGGTATGCATCATCACAGAATAAACTTTGACAAATAGTGAGTTGAATCCATTTATTAATTATGGCTGTAGGTTGTATTTAAATATGATTTTAGGCTTCATAACTTTGTTCTGCAATCTATTGTTAGAAGTAAAATTGAAGGCTGCTTTTGAAAGTAAAAAAATAAGAAAATTTAATGTTTCATGTATGTAAATTTTAAGGAAGAATGTTAAATGCCATTTAAGTGAAATTTTAGATTTCAGTAAAGCAGAGCTCATTTAAGGCAGAAAAAAGGGCAGGGTGCAAAAGTTTAAAAAGGGGGCATTATTCTAATAAGGCAATAATTTCTTTCTATGGGCTAAACACATTCTATTTAAAAAAAAAAAAAAACATTGTCAACTAGTAAAAGATTTTTTTTTTTCATGTTGCTAAGAGTAACAAAGCAATCATGTTAATTACTAATTTTTATTAACAAATTAACATACATATTGAGTTAGTGGGTTAATTAGCTTAGTAATTTATTTAAAATGTATGTTTTTAAGTGTCTGTAGCTATGATTTAATGATAGTGGAAGTGACTGCAAACTTTGAAAGACAACAACAAGTGGGTTAGATGGCTATTTTTCCTTTCCCATATATCAATAAGTGTTACTTCATGAATGTTATCAGATGTTTTAGTGATATTTTAAAGAGGAAACAATTATACTGTAATATGTTCAACATTTTCTATAATTCAGGCATGGACTTTTCAGTAATATGGAATTGATAATTTTCTGACTTTTGAATTGGAGTGTACTTAAGCAGCAGTAAGCTTTCCTTCTGTTTTCTAAAAACTTAGAATTTAAAATCTTCTAAAAAAGTATATAATATTTCTTCTTAGTTGAATTGATATATGTATATATTATTTTTTGCCTCAGGAATGTGAATCATTCAAATAGATCTAATTGGATGCCTTATTGCTTGGTTGAGTGAGAAATAAGTATTTTTGCACTGTGCTGATTTTGCTTTGCTTGATACTGTGTGCTTTTGCATTGATTTTCATAATTTTATGATATATTGTAGAAATAAGTTTCAAGTAGCAAGATTGCATTTGCATGCAATACTTTATACCACTTGGTCTTTTTTTAGAATGAAAATTTTAATTATAGAAAGTGTATTATTTATTTGTTACCAACAAAGTTAGAAATCCGGCATTCTATAGAATGCCTAGGCATTGTATAGAATGCCTAAAACTAGCCGTCAATGTATGAAACTATTTATGTTTCACACATTTCCTAGGCATTCTATAGAATGCCGTGTTAGTAAAAGTGATGAAATGGATATTTTGTGTGATATTTGCTTCTAAACTGAAAATAATTGTGACATAATGTGAATTTTTTGTTTCCCATAATAAAGACAAATTATGTTTTGTACAACTTTCCTTTTTTTTATACCCATTTTGAATAAAAAAAATCTTAGTGGCACTCTTATTTTTTCGGAGTAACTTTTTTATATTTAGAAGTGAACATTATTTACATAATAGCCTCATCAGTATGTTTTTTTTTTTCATACTTTGCCTAAATAGCATCTGGCATTATATACAGTGCCTAGGGAAAGTATGTAATACTTCTCACATTTCATAAGTTGCCTATAAACATCTGGCATTATATACAATCCCGGTGTTTCGTACTTTGCCCGTAACATATATATCTTTCTAAGGTAGTTATGTGAAAAGGTGGTTATCTTTAAAATGTAATTTTATTGAATGAAACTCCTGTAAGTCTCTCGCTTTGAAGTGCAATAATTTTAACCTTATTTTAATATTAAAATTATGTTTCTGAATTTTAAAATAAATGGTAAATATAGTAAAAGAGGTTAAACCTAGATTACTTAATGACAATTTAACTGATTGTTTTTATTTTTATTACAGCCATCCTGGTTATTTTGGTAAAGTAGGTATGAGGAATTTCCATTTGAAAAAGAACCAGAAGTTTATGCCTACTGTCAACATAGATAAATTGTGGTCGCTTGTAACTGAAAAGACCAGAGAAACATACAAAGATCATCCTGAGGGCAAAGCTCCAGTTATTGATGTTGTTAATTCTGTAAGTTTTGTCTTTTTTCCTCTTTTAGAGATTTGCTGAGAGTTCTTAAGTAATTCTGTTCGATAAGTTATTTAGTTCAGTTTCTTCTGTGTAGGGTTTTTATAGGAGGGGAGGGAATCCTTCATTTTTATTGTTCAAGCATAACTGTAGACTTGCAGTGACTTGTGTTGCTGTAAGGGGAAAAGTTATGCCACATTAAAAAAGGTAGCTTGTCTAGCTATACTGTGCAATCATAACTTGTACAGTGTGTTTCTCTGCTTCCTAACATGAGTGTTTAAGTAGCATAAGTAAATGATTATGTTAATTGCTAATTTAGCAAAATAAGTGTTTGATTATTAAAAATTTTAGAAACTAAGCTAGATGTAGATTTATGATACTTAAGGTTGTGATAGTTAAAGTGTTTGTATTGAAATTATGTTACAGAAAAAAGTTTTAGTTGTATCTAACTATTCAACTGATAACTTATATTCAACCTCACGAAGAAAAAAAAAACTAACAGTGTTGTGTTGGTTATTAGTTAAATGATTAGATAAATCTAGTAACAAGTTGTTACCCGTACTATTGCTCACTCTTTTTTATAACGGAATGTTTGTCTTTAAAGATATCTGAACCTAAAGAAGTCCTTATCTTTAAATGTTGCATTCTCTATAGGGTAATGTAGAGGTTTGTTAATATTCTCAAGGTTCTGTTGCTTGTTTCTTTTGGGATTTATGGTGTTAGAAATTAATTACCTTGCATCTCTGGGCAAGAAATAATTTTTTGTAAATTATTTTCTAATCATGTAAAGGTTAAAAAAAACTCTACTTTAATCAGATGTTAGAAGTATATTCTTATATCTTTCATGCAGTAGATACAAGAAAAAAATTTTTAATGTTTACAAGTACAAAAAAAAATTATTCCATTGAAAGATGCTTCACGAAAGTTGAAACATTAAGAAAATAGGTCTTTACAGCCTTAACTACTTGTTGTTCACACAACTCTTTAAAGTAATTAAATCGCCAACCCGTTTTTACCAATAAAATTAAACATTAACCCTGTCTGGTTATTGTTTAATTTCATTTGTTATTTCAGAACTTCGTAAGTTAATTTTTAGACTCATGGAATTGCTGGCAAACTTACATGTTTCTTTTTGTATGTTTTCCGTTAGAAGTAGGTCCTTTGTTTTTAATTGTAAAAATATAATTTTCGCAGGATTAGAAACTTGATCCTTGATTAACCCCTGTTTTGTGACCTTGCATCTCTGGGCAGGAAATAGATTTTTTATAAATTATTTTCTAATCTTGCTAAGGTTAAACAAAATTTACTTTAATCAGATATTAGAAGCAATTTCTATTGTCTTTCATGCAGTAAATACATATATACTTCTAGCTTATTCCAAGGGCCATATTACCTATTTGTCACCTTGCATCACTGGGCAAGAAATGTTACAATTTGTGAGTTATTTTCTAATCATGCAAAGGTTAAATGAAGTTAACTTTAATTGGATGTTTGAATTAATTACCATTGTTTTTCATGCAATAAATTATTTATTACTTTTTTATTTCAAATTCTACTAAATTCATAAAATGGAAGTTATATGCTTTGCCACTAATTTCATAACCTTGCATCACTGGGCAAGAAATAATTGTTTTTTGTAAATTATTTTCTAATCATGCAAAGGTTAAACAGAATTTACTTTAATCAGATATTAGAAGTAATTTCTATTGTCTTTCATGCAGTAAATACATAGATATGTACCTCTCTGGTCTTCTTAGGGGCATATCTTTTATGTGGTTTGCCGCTTGTCATATTTAGAAAGATTTTTCCAATTGCTACTTAGTTACCTATTTTCTACTCATGCAAAGTTAATGAAAGAAGATAGAAGTTGTATGCTTTGTTCAATTATATCTTGTTACCTATATCATAACCTTGCATCACTGGGCAAGAAATAATTTTTTTGTAAATTATTTTCTAATCATGCAAAGGTTAAAGAAAAATCTACTTAAATCAGATGGTAGAAATATTTTCTATTATCTTTCATGCAGTAGAAACATTTTTCTCACAAAACTGCAATGCATCTTAGTTAAATTTTGTGGATATGATTTATGCTCTAAGTATTGCATACAATGATGAAATGATACAGACCTACTCTGAATTCTTGAAGATAAATCTAATCTGATCCTTTATAGTATACAATCTTATCAGGTCTTTAGGTTCACACAATTAAATGTAATATTTAAAGTATGTATAAATTTTGCTTTTTATTTCAAATGCTTCTAAGTTAACAGTATCATTCTTGGAATGTCTGGGCAGAAGATGTTTTGCTTCAAACAGAAGGTAGAAGTTATATGCTTTGTTCAATTATATCTTGTTGCTTATTTCATAACCTTGCATCACTGGGCAAGAAATAATTTTTTTGTAAATTATTATCTAATCATGCAAAGGTTAAAGAAAAATCTACTTAAATCAGATGGTAGAAATCTTTTCTATTATCTTTCATGCAGTAGAAACATTTTTCTCACAAAACTGCAATGCATCTTAGTTAAATTTTGTGTATGATTTATGTTCTAAAAGTTGTATAAAATGATGAAATGATACAGACCTACTCTGAATTCGTGAAGATAAATATATTCTGATCCTTTATAATATACAATCTTATCAGGTCATTACAATTAAATGTAATATGTATAAATCTGGGGCTGGGGTAGGGCGTTGGTCCCATGTCCAAGAGGTTGCAAGTTCTTTCCCGTGTTGTAAATGGTGACTGGTGCACATTAAATCAGTCGGTCACAGAAAAGTTCCCATAATGAATCAATGGTGGTACTGAATTGGAGATTGGTCATTCTCTAGTTCAGCTCAAAATTACTATCTGTGGATGCGTGGGGTCTGCCTTTTAAAATGGGTTGTGACGTGTGTGTGGCTGAAGTCTTATCCTTAGCCATACGTAACACTATTGAAAGACAAGATTTGCTGGTTTTGGCATTGTCAGTCAGTGAGATGACAGATGTATATTTATACTTACTTAGTTTGGAATAATGTAATAGCTCCAATCATTTGATAGAAGCTACTAATATATGCTTTCTTCATATATATATTGTTACCTCTTTCCTAACCTTGCATCACTGGGCAAGAAGTAATTTTTTTTGTAAATTATTTTCTAATCATGCAAAGGTTAAAGAAAAATCTACTTAAATCAGATGGTAGAAATCTTTTCTATTATCTTTCATGCAGTTGGAACATTTTTCTCACAAAACTGCAAAACATCTTAATTAAATTTTGTGCATGTGATTTGTGTTCTAAAAAATTGTATAAAATGATGAAATGATACAGACCTACTCTGAATTCTTGAAGATAAATAAATTCTGATCCTTTATAATATACAATTTTATCAGGTTATTAAGTTCATGCAATTAAATGTATGTAATGTTCAAAATATGTATCTGGGATTAACCCAGATGGTTTGGTGTTGATTCCATGTCCAAGATGTTGCAAGGTCTTTCCCCTTGTAGTAAATGGTGACTGGTGCACATTAAATCTGTCGGGGTCGCAGAAGAATTCCCATAACAAATTAGTGCCTTTGGTAGTACTGAATTGGAGATTGATCGTTTTCTGGTTCAGGTCAAAATTACTATCTGTGGGTGTACAGGTCCGCCCTTTAAAACTAGGTGTGATGAGTGTGTGGCTGAAGTCTTATTCTTGGCTCTCTTATTCTGTTGGTTTCATCGAGCATACTGGTTTAGGCAAGAGGCGTTGTCTGTCTGTGAGATAGCAGATGTATATTTATACTTACTTAGTTAGGAATAATGCAATAACTTCAGTCATAAGATAAAATTACTAATTTATGTTTTGTTCAATTATATCTTGATTTCCTAACCTTGCATCACTGGGCAAGAAATAATTTTTTTTTTGTAAATTATTTTCTAATCATGCAAAGGTTAAAGAAAAATCTGCTTAAATCAGATGGTAGAAATCTTTTCTATTGTCTTTCATGCAGTCGAGACATTTTTCTCACAGAATTGCAATGCGCCTTAGTTAAATTTTAAGTAGTCTGTGGTTTATGTTCTAAAAATTGTATGAAATGATACAGACCTACTCTGAATTCTTGAAGATAAATATATTCTGATTCTATAATACACAATCTTATCAGGTCATTAAGTTCATACAATTAAATGTAATATTTAAAATATGTATAAATCGGGGGCCGGAATAGTCTAGTTGGTCCCATGTCCAAGAGGTTGTGAGTTCTTTCCCATGTAGTAAATGGTGACTGGTACACATTAAATCAGTCAGTCACTGAGAAGTTCCCATAACAAATCAATACCTTTGGTTGTACTGGATTGAAGATTGATCATTCTCAGGTTCAGGTCAAAATTACAATCTGGATGCATGGATCTGCTCTTTAAAATGGGCTGTGACATGCGAGGCTGAAGTCTTATCCTCAGCCATATACGGCGCTACTGAAAGAAGAGATGCGTCGTCTGCCTTAAATTCGCTTGGTTTTGGCAAAGTGGCATCGTCAGACGGTAAAACAGCAAATATATATTTATGCTTGTTTAGTTGGTTGAAATAGTGTAAATAAAATGATAGATTCTTGTGAAAGTAGAAAATGATACAGACCTACTCTGAATTTTTGAAGATAAATCTATTCTGATCCTTTATAACTATATGTAGTCTTATACGGTCATTATTATATATATTGATGCTTGTTTTGTTATTAGTGACAATGTAGTTTATGCAGGGGTCGCATTCCCCCTAAAATTCCTAAAAGTATGTGCAAACCCTAAAATTCCTAAAAATCTGATAAAATTTTATTGGTGTTCCTAAAAAATTAGTTATAGGCTAAATATAAATAAAAAAGCAATAATCTAAAATATAAGAATTTAACTACATTAATTAAAACTTTTAATTTTGCCACATGGGAATTCTGATCCTGAGAGAGGTTTTTCGATAAATAAAGCAATGCTTAATGTGAGTCACCATGAGAATACTATTATGTCTCTTAAACTTCGAAATTATGGAGGAGTGTTGAAGATCACCACAACACTATTGAGGGCAGTAAGAGAATCTCACAAATCATATCAAGAATATATTAGAAAAATGATCATAATTAATTTGTTTTTCTCTAACTTCTAATATAAATTGCTGATTTAAAATCTATTAATATCACACAATAGTTTTTCTTGATAAAGTAAGGTAAAGGGTAATAATTAAGTTTTGATAAAAATTAAATAAAAATCCAAGTTGGCGTTAATTTATTTTTTCTCTTGATTTATTCTCACTTTTGCCTGTTCCTGAATTATGCACTTAATTTCTGATAGGTAATATGTAAAGTTGAAATTTCATTTTTACACTTTAGAGATTTAATTCTTGACTTTCAGAGCTTTATTTTATGGCTTGCAATTATTTATGATATGTGTGGATGAATTGTAATAATCTTCTGTTATGTAATAAACTACCGTTTGATCTGTTTTTATCCTAGTAAAATCTTATATAACCCCTAAAATTTGCCTAAAATTTTTTGAAAAAAGTTCCTAAAATTACCCTAAATTTTTAAAAAACTTTGCTGCTACCCCTGTTTATGAAATGGGTTGTTTATTACGAAATGTAAATTATTAGTTACTATATTTCTTGTCTTTGCAATATAGTTTTAGTTTAAAATAAGCAATGGCTAACTTATCTCTTTGCTTTCAGGGTTACTACAAAGTTCTGGGTAAAGGCAGGCTTCCAAAACAACCTCTTATAGTGAAAGCAAGGTGGTTTAGTAAAGAGGCAGAAAAGAAGATTAAAGCTGTTGGTGGTGCATGTATTTTAACAGCATAAGTGTAAAAATAAAAAAAAAATTGTAAATTATTCATTTTGTGTTTATTTCTGCATTAATCCCTAGCTTCTTCTTATCTCCTTGTAGCTAATAGTTGATTTGATAAGAGTGTGGAAGGATATTACTTTAAAGGAATGGGGAACAGGGTGGCCACCCACCTGGAATTATCAGGGAATTTTTTTATACTGGAAAAAACCTGGAAATATCAGGGAAATTTGGATAAAAACCTGGAAAAATCAGGGAATTTTAAAGAAAAGCTGGAAATTTTTCTTTGATAATTTTTTTAATTTCACTAATTTAAATTATTTGATAATTTTCTTAATTTAAATTATTTCATCCATTATTACAGGGGTAGAAGTCCTCCTATATTTCCTATATTTTTATAAAAAGCTAAGAAAGCCTCCTATCTTTCCTTTATTTCCTATATTTTTCAAAATTAGCCTATATTTTTTTCCCTCTAATATTTTTTTTTTACTATAGAAGACAATTTTCTAGATTTTTCTTTCCTCAGATAGTCATGATCATTTTGAAATTCACTTGTCCTCAATACTGCTTAATGACAATGGGTAAGTGAACACATAAATAGTGTTCTCCCCCCTCCCTATCTCTTGTTGTTGTTTAACAAAAGTTTCAAGGTACAATGACTAAGTTAGTGTGTGGACTCCTATTGTTAGGGCCTGGGTAGATTTGTGGAACAACACCCCTTTTGTCAATAAAGGGTGAAATAACAGAGAACCAGTAGTAGCATGAATGGAATGTATCATAGAGTATTATTTATCAATATCACTAAAAAAGTCAGAGGGGGGTTTTGTGGAAATTGCAGTTGTCTGTCAAACTCTTTCTTTCCTTATCTGCTGTATCTCTCCTCAATATCCATGGGTCACTCATTCTATTCAAAGATGAAGACACCTCAAGGTCAGTTTTTTTTCTATTCACCAGTTTTATTTTCTTCTATGGAAGTAACAGGAATTGTCCTAACTAATTTTGTCTCCTCCTCTTTTTGGGGGAGTTTTTCTGTCAACTTCCATTGGTTCATTCAGAGGAGTGAATATAACTTGTTACCTGATTGGACCTTCATCACCCATTTTAAGTTACCCTTTGGAAGTAGTGAGTGTTGTCATTGACTACACAGAAAATTAGTTTTAGTGCTTTCTAAGCTTATACTACTTTGTATGACTTTTTTTTCTGAGTAGATGGCAAACTAAATTATTATGTTAATATTTTGCTTCAAAATGTTAACTTTCAATTAGATTATTTAAGTTTTTATTTTATTATCTTTGATTAATTTATTTTTATATTTATTGCATTTAATCCATTTAATTTATAAGTACAATTAAAAGATGCCAAATCATTTGACACGATTTCGTGATGATTGGCTTGATTTAGAGGATAAAAATAATGGTAAAGTTAAAGACTGGTGCCAAAAAGGTAAAGATGAATATTCTGCCTACTGTACTGTTTGTCTGGCTACTGTAAACATCAGCAATAGTGGCAAAATTCAGCTTTTGCAGCATTCAGGCACTAAAAAACATAAAAAGACTTTTAATGAGAAAAAGGATATTTCTCAAAAGCGTCTCGTAATTGCTGCTGGCAATAGTGTTTGTTTGGAGCCAGGATCCAGCTCTACTGAATCAAAAAAAGTATGGACTCTTACTTCTGAAGACAAAATATTGCAATCTGAAATTATATGGACAATCCATGTTGCCCTGAACAATTATTCCTTTTTATCGCAGGATGCTATAAAAGAAGTATTTTCATCTGTCTTCCCAGACTCAAATTTGTGCACTGGGATGACCTTATGTTCCACCAAAGTGTCTTATTCTATATCACATGGACTTGGTCCTTACTTTTTGAAGCAAATCACCAACGAATTTAAGAGAGAAAAACCTTATTACTCATTAATGTTTGATGAGACCCTTAATGAGCAAAATTTGAAACAACTTGATGTGCACATTCGATATTGGTGCTCTTGTGATGGTGGTATATCCGAGAGATACTTGGGTTCAGAACTGTTGGGGCATGCAACTGCTCTCAACATTTTTAATGCAATAAAATCAATTCTAAATTCTTGTGAAATAGATTTAAAGCATATAGTGATGCTTGGGTCTGATGGGCCGAATGTTAATAAATGTGTTTTTCAACTATTCGACAAAGAAGTTACAGAGATTGGGAAGTATGGATTAATAAATGTGGGCACATGTAATTTACATGTTATTCATAATGCCCTTGGAAAAGGTTTAGCTATTGAAGAATTTGGGAATATTATTGATTTTTTGGAAAACATTTATTCATGGTTTTCCAAATTTCCTTCCAGGAAAGTGGATCTCCAAAAAGAAATTGATCATTTTGGTTGTGAATATTCTAAAGTGTTGAGATATGTGAGCAACAGATGGCTTTCTGTTGTTACTGTCTGCGAAAGAGTCCTGCATCTTTTGCCTCCTTTAAAGGAGTATTTTATAGAAGATCTACCTAAACAGAAAAGTAGTTTGATAAAGCTTTATAGATTTCCAAGCATTAAAAAAGTTTTAGAAGATCCTTTATTATCAGCTTATTTGCATTTCCTTATCAGTGTTGGATCAATTTTTGATAATATTTTAAAGCTATTACAAGAAAAAAACTCATTGATTCACACTTTATACAATGAGTTATGTGATTTGATAATAAAAATCATGCAACGCTTTATTAAAGAAGAAGTTTTGAAAGACAAAGGTGGCGACAAATTACTTGAGGTAGATTTGAACAAAGATGCCTTGCCCCTAAAAAAGATCGATGTGGGCAATAATGTTCGTAGGGTACTTAACTTGGTAAAAAGTGAAGAAAAGGAGTTATTTCTATTTAATGCTAAGAAATTTTATGTTATAATAATTGAATACCTCCTCCAGAAATTGCCTTTGAAAAATAAACTGTTACAATCCTTACAAATTTTGCACCCTATTGTGAAGAAAGAACCTGTAGTGAATATTTTGCCTACAATCAGAAGATTGTGTAACATGCTACCCCACATCGTACCACAGAACTGTGTTGATAAACTGACTGACGAGTGGCATTTGTATGCAAATGAAGATGTTCCCGAGGAAACTGAAAACATTCCCATTGACAAGTACTGGAACAATGTGTTTGTTCTTAAAGATGGTAATGGTAATTTAAAATATCCCTTTTTAACTAAACTTGTGAAGTCAGTCCTCTCTGTTTCTCATGGGCAAGCCTCTGTGGAACGTGGCTTTTCAATTAGCAAACGAATTATGACAAATGAAAGGTCAAGAATGAATTTAAACACGCTAGTAGGCTTAAGACTTATAAAAGATTCAGTTAGAAAAAATGCTTCTTGTGTGGAAATAACAAAAGAGATGATCCAGTTCTACAAAGAAGCCCACAGCAAATATAAGGCAGAAAAAGAAAAGGAAAAGCTCAAAAACCTCAAGGAAAAAAGTTTAGAGCCTAGGCCCAGTACTTCTGTAAAAAAATCAACTGAGGAGAAATTGAAAGGTTTTAAGGAAAATGTTTATTCAGCTCAGGCTATGATTGAAGAAGGAAACCAGAGGCTAAAACAAGGACTCAAACTGAAATCTATGGCTGATATTGAGGCTGGCAACAAAAAGTTAAAGACTTTGCAGAATGATAAATGAATATAAAAACAATGCTGCATAATTTTTGAAATAATTTAATGTAATAAAGAGGAGTAAATAAAATGTTAATTATTGAAAAAGTCATTAGTTTGATAAAGTCAATTTTTTTATGTGGTTTTTAATTTTTAAAGCAATAATAAGGTATGTACGATTCCATTCAGCTGCGGAAAATTGTTTATATAATTTTTTTATCGAATTTTTTTAGTGTTAAATAATTAAGTTTTAAAGTTATTCATATATGATCCATACTTTTCAATTTAATTTAGATCTTTTTTGCCCTATTTTTTATTCCAGAAAATCCTATATTTTTTTCTCATTGGTCACTTCTACCCCTGATTATACCCACTTTTTTTTAACGGAAATGTATTGCCAGACAGTTGAAATATCATCAATTTAGCAATACTTTGCTTGCATCAAAATTTGCTCCATTACAGCTCTGTTAAACTAGAATGCCACATAAAATTCTCACACAGTTGCTAAACGAATGTAGAAAAAATTCTCTCCTTGGGCTGAATCCATTTATGGCTCAACTTTGTTCCAATGCTTTGGTGGTAATTTTTTTTTCTATTTTGACAAAATGTTTTTGTATTTTTAACTTTATAAAATTCTCCAAAAATTAGTTGGTTATAATTTAATAATAGATTTTATATCGCAGTCTTTTTCTGAAAGCTTTTCTACTCCCAATCAAAGAAATCTGAATTATTTTTCTCAGCAAACCAAACAATCACACATTTTTTTACAATCGCTAACGGCAATGTTTGTCGACAAATCGTTACAATTGTTGCATTAATGCTAATTTTTTCTATTTCATTTTAACCTTTTATAACATTTTTTAATTTTAAAAAAATGTTTTTTCAAGAACCAACTATATATTTATATTTAATTTTACTCTTTTGTTGGTCAATATGATTTTTGATTCGATATTTTGTACCGAAACATTAAAAATTAAATTTTAAAAAATCTTGAAAATTGTCAAAATAAATTGTTTTTTTCAAGATGATATGTTAAAAAAATAGCATTTTGAATAAAATATTTTATAATATCGACACTTTTCTTGTATTCTTCCTATACTTTATATGAAAAAAGAAACAAAAACCTGGAAATTTTATGATTTTTATCTGGAAAAATCAGGGAAATTTGAAATCGGATTTGAGTGGCCACCCTGGGGAAGTGTCAACATAGTTCCTGGTTGCCTTAAAAAGTGTTCAAAACAATGTTGAAATGTGTCTTATCATTATCCCAAGCTCTTGAAATATTTTAATCACTTAAAGTATTTTCCTTTCTTACACTTAGAAGGCAAATATATTATGAAATTGGAGCAATAAACGCTCTAGAACACTGTAATTTAATAATGAAATTAAACCATTACAATTAAGATGAACATTTAAAATAGTAAGGTTGAGAACATGAAAAAGTAAAGTACATGGTGTCACTAGAATATTAAACTAAATTTTAAAAATGGAAAGATCTATAAATTCAGAATTGTAGTTATACAGTTTAAAAAATTCTCAGATTCTGAATAGATTTGCTATTCTTTAAAAACCTGGAATCAAAGAATCACTACTGACATTTATGTTCATTTTATAGTGCTTAAATGTTTCTAATGCCAATACCCAAGGCTGATTGTGCTCCGGAAAAAATCCGGATTTCCGGAATTTTTGCTAACAGTGATCCGGAGATCGAAGGTTCAGACGTTTCAAAAAATCCTTGATCACAAAAGCTTCCGGAAATCAAATTTTCAAAGGTGGAACTTAAAAACACAGTTTATTTTATTTGTTTGTAAGGGAGAGCCAGAGAGATACTTAATAAGCTTAAATTCATGATTATTATTAATTTTTTATCAGTAAATAGTTGTTATAATCATAAACTCAAGAAAGAAAGACATATTTGTAAATATTAATTACTTCTCCAGGTCATCATAGGTATGGGTATGCGTAAAATTTTAAATATATTTTAATCATACTGAGAAAAGGGGAAAAAAAACTTGTTTAAATTATTTTTTAATTTTTCAATTGAAACGGGTTTTTTTTGTTGAAATTTTTCCGGAATTTTGACTTGGGCTCACAATCACCCCTGCAATACCAGAAAGCATTGGTGAAACCAAGATAATTTAAGACAGGGTGTGCTTGTTTTTTAGTGGGAATAAGACTTTAGCCACACACACATCACAGCTTGTTTATATGGCCGATCCGTTTATACATCCACAGTCATCATTTTGACTTGAACCATAGGACAATCAATCTCCAATTTATTACCTCCAGAGATATTTGTTATGGGAACATGGAAGACTTTGTGACCCGACAGATTTAAGTTGCACCAGTAACCATTTACTATACCACGGTGTGTCTTTGGCTGGTTGGGATCAAACTCGCGACATCTCAGAGACATGTCCCTAGCTTAAATAAATGCATACAGATAATAATAGGATCTAAGAATTACTACAGACATTTATGTTAGTTTTAATTAAGCTTAACCTTCAGAGCGTTACTTACGGCTTTTTCTGAACTTTCAGCTGCAGACTTTTCCAATGAAAGAATCTGTTTTCCCAATGTGATTTAAGATGAAAGTAGTACATATTAGAGAAATTTGAAGCAAAAGACTCGATGCTTGGAGGGTCAAGTAAATGTATAAGGAACAAAAAAAAAAGATATCTTTGAAGAAAAAAGAACCATATAGTAATTAATCATATGAATTTTCAATTCATAAATTTTTCTCTAAAAAAAAAAATGATTTTGCCACAAAAAATTATATTAACATATTATGGTGTAAGATAATATTACTTACTATTGAAGACATGACAATAAAATTAAAACCTTTTTATTATATTTTTCTTAATAAGTATTATAATTTAATAAATAGTTAAATACATAAAAACATACATGTGATTCATTAAATAAAAATTGAACAGCTATTTTATAATTTATTCCTTATGAGTTTCATGACAGTAAGCAACATATAAATGGGTAGGATAATATATATATTTATAACTAAATTTGTTTATATCACTATTTTACTATGTAAAAGAAACCTTATAATTTTGAATCATAGCGATTTTATAAAATTTAATAATTTATAACAAAGTAAAAAAATAAATAGCTCTTTGTTAAAATTATATTTCATTATAAAATGAACATATACCAAAACAATAAATTAATAACAATAAGCTTCATTTGGATTTTTAAAAAAATCATAAGAATCTGAACCATGGTGGTTCAGGGGATAGAGCACTCGCCTTTCAATGAGATAACTCAAGTTCGAATTTCAGTGATGGCTGGTCGATATGAATTCCGTACCTGCCACAATGCTGATATAAAATGTACTCAATGGTAGACAAATCATGGCTAAGATTCCCCTTGCTGTCTGGCTAATTGTGGGAAGTTTTCTTTTCCAAGTAACGATAATGCAGTTTAGTTCCATCAAAAAGTCCTTCATGAAGGCAAAATTTCATCCAATACTTGAACCAGGAGTTCCCTTGTCTTTTGAATTAGGTTCAAAATTACAAGACTACAGAATTGAACATTGGTAGTTATAACTCAAAATTGGGCGAGCTATTCACCGACAGATATAAAAAGCATACAAATCCAGAATATGTGATACTAATAAAAAAATTAGATAGAAATACTTCTAAGATACAATACACATAATGTTATCTCCACAAATAAGAAATACTTTTATTTCTGTTGAACTAGGTTTTAATATTTAAAAAAATTCAAAATAAATGTTTAGATTTCTCTTTTTAATATAAATGTTTAGATTTCTCCACTTTTTCATTATCAATTGCAAACAAGTCAAAAGCAATAACATAATTATACATATCTAAATTCAAAAAATAACGAAAAATTTGGGAGAAAAAACACTTAAAAAATTTCGATTACTTTTTTACAAATTGGAACATTTTAAAAGAATACAGTGTCAAACTTACTAACAAAAAATGTCAAGAAATAGATATAACATCATATGTCAATGGTGAGAATACAACTTTTAGTATTGCAGAACAACCTGTATGTTATTTCTTCTTAAAAATTTAGTTATATAATTTTCAAGCTAATTATAGCATACTAAAAAAAATTTTATTTCATCTTCTGCAAATTTTTTACACACTTTTGCAATTCCTAAGTGTTGAAGTTTCCGCAGAGCCAAATAAAATGTCAACATAAAGTTGATGACCCAAAATAGCTTCAGAGAAGCTTATAAGGTTTTAATGCAGCTAAAGATACGTGCAATATCAAAGTACATTAAAATATATAGAAGAGTAGCACCTCTTTTTATAGCAAACTATAGCATTTAAACATGGCAGCATGCTTCTAAATTTGTTCGTAAATAGGTATAATAAGGTGTATATCCTTGTACACACTTCAAAATATTTGCAAAAGAAATAATACAGCAATTTTTATACACTATGCAATCAATAATTAAGTATTTAAAACTTTTTCATGAAGAAGTATGTGAGATTTTAAACTATGTTTCTGAGAAAAACCTTTATTGCAAATATTACAAGAAAAAGGCCTTTCTCTCGTATGAACTAAATTATGAGTGTTTAAATTACCTTTTACTGAAAATCTTTTTTGACATATACTGCAGGAATAAGGTTTTTCATCAGTATGAGTTCGACGATGCCTCGTTAAACTATCACATCGAGTAAAACTTTTATTGCATATATTACAAGTGTATCGCTTTTCATTTGTATGAACAATCAAGTGGCGGTTTAATTCACTTGTTGCTGAAAAACTTTTATCACAAAATTCACAGAAACAGAATTTTTGTTTAGTATGAACGAGGTCATGTCTTTTTAAATGACTTTTCAAAGAAAATTTCTTATTACATACTTGACAAGAATAAGGCTTTACTTTGGTATGCACAATACTATGCCTTACTAAATCACTCAGTGCTGAAAACCTTTTATTACAAATAACACAAGCATGAGGCCTTTCCTTTGTATGAACACGACTGTGTGCTAAAAAATGTGCTCTCACAGTAAAAATTTTGTTACATATGCTACAAGTATGAAGTTTTCCTTTTTTAGGAACTGAACCTGGCAGATTTAACTTATTATTAAGAAATAAATTAGTATTCGATTCAGTGGAAGATTTTTGCTCTTCTATTGTAGGATCAGGATATAAAGTTTCTTGTGAACATAATTTAGTATTATTTTCATTACATGAAATATCCTCTACTATAGCTTGATTGGGATGTAAAACTTCTTTCTGTAAACACTGATTACTATTTGTTTCATTAGAAGCTTCCACAGTGTGCACACAATATAAAGCATCATCTTGTGAACATAATTTACAAAAGTTTATCTCCTCCATATTACAAGCAATTTTTTTTTTATTAATCAAAAATTTGGTGTAAAGAAAAAGATTTCAAACAAAATTTTGTTTTAATAACTAAACAGATACATTTAGGAGCCTTCAAATCTCACAAAAGTTTAATAACAGCGTCTACTCAAGATGACAAAATACTAAAATATGAAATTGTAATAAAATGTTCCAATAAGCTTCATAAACAAAATTTTTATGAGCTATCACAATTCAATTTGTAACTATTATATTGTAAAAGCACTTTATTCATAATTTAAGTTAGCTATTTTATCTATTTTCACCTAAATAAACAAGCTAAATTGCTCGGTAGTGTATAGCGTGAGGATGCCTGTGAATCCTCAGGAAACAGGATGATCCCTCAAGGCATGTTTTCAAGCATGCGCAGTATACTAATCATAATGAGTAACGCCTCCTCCCTGTCCTTCCTAGTCAGATGACTACGCGATAGAAAATGGCGAGAAATGGCATTTCAAAAATGTGACTACTTCAAATTTATCCAAAACTAATCAAGGATTACATAAAGGGTATGTGACTATACTTTATTCAAAATATTTATTATCTGCCTTTTCACTAGAAATTTATACCTCCTTAAGAGTTGAATGATCATTTCTTTAAAATATTTGACTAACGAAAATCTTTATTTGATGTCAAAATGTGCAATGACTGGTGGATTACCAGAGGAAACCCGAATAGAGAATGATTTTTAAATTTAAATATGTTTATGCAATCCTTTGTAATAGTATTTAACGAGCATTTAATAATATATAGAGAAAAGGCAGCAATAAATATATAGAATAAAATATATTTACTACTCATAATACTGTGTTCCCTTTTGTTCACTCATTGACTCAATAGAATATTCATAAGATTGCCATAAATGACATAAGAAAAATAAATAAAAAAACATTTCATCAAAGCAATATATTATTTAAGCAATAATGAACTTCTACTCACTGTTATAAAAAAATACTTTATTTTCTTATAAAAAACATTAAATTTTCAGAGTTTATTTCTTATTCCCAAAAATTCGTTTGAAATTAAATATTTATATATAAAAATATAGGGGTTTTTTTTCATTAATTTTACTTCATAAAACTTTAAAATATGCAAATTGATGTCTTTAAAATTTTTACTTTAAACTTCAATTTTTTTTATTGCTATTACAATTAAGGTGACGTTCCCATTCTTTATTACTAAAAGCATTCCGAAAACAAAAAATCCAAATAAATATTGAAAAAAAATACCTTTTAATTTTACCTTAATCTAAAAATATAACTTCTTAAGAGACATTTGAAATTTTAATTCAAGTACTTAAAAATGTTTCAATCTTCATAATGCATTTGTTTTTTACTCAAATTTATCAATTTCATTTCATATTTTGTTTTTATACTCTTTCATTCAGTTGATAACAAAATATGTTACAATATAAAGATTTAGTTGAATTAAATCATAAAACAGAGTCTTTGCTAGTGTGGATTATATATTTTTTATTCTGTTAATAGATGGCTGCACCAGTTATTTAAAATAAATAATAATAGTTTCTTTTTAGTTAGTGGAGACGTATATCGCCAAAAGATGGCACTGAGATACATTGGAATTTTACTTTTTGTCTGGGACTGTCAAATCTAGTGGGAGGGGAGGGGATGTTTGACGGATGCTCCTAAATTAGTGGGAATAGTTTTTTCTTCTTTTTTTTTCTCTCCGTTTTTCCCTCTTACTCCTTTCGGAACACTTAGCAAGGATATAAGAAAGATTTCTCGTACTTTTTGTATCTAAATTTTTAAGATGTCTCATTTCACATGTTTCTGTCCTTAGATTTTTCATTAATAAAAGCACTAGCATATTATCTTTTGGTTATAAAATTAATAGATAATGATGCAAAGGATCATTAACTGGAAAATGAACCTTTTATTAATAAAATTATTCTTTATGTTTGTTATACTTTTTTAATTAACATGCATGAGAATTAGTCCACCCACAGCAAATATTTGTTTCACATCAGTGTATCATAAATATTCATCGTAGAGTTAAAACCTTTTATTTTATTTAAGAAAATATTTCACAATTTTCTCCAATTGAAAACATTTGATGTTGCACGTAGTACTTTCATTTATTATTTATTTATTTATTATTATTATTTTTTCGTTTATTTTTGCATTCTTTCTTCTACTGAAATTCGATGAGTCACGAAAAAAATTTCTTAAAATAGTCTATAGTGATTTTATTTCCATAATTTTACTTTTTACTATTATAATAATGCAAACTGAGAAAAAAATCTGATTTAGGAACTTTGGATAAATGTTTTGCTAACTCTTTTCATTATCTATAGTACTCATTGTAACTTTAACAGTAAAACGTATTTCAAACTGTTAAAAAAATTTTATATTATAACGTTTTATTTATTTATTATTTTTATATATGTATAAAAATCAACTGCACATATAATATTGAAACTTGAAATATGGTTCTTGCTTGAAATATGGATAATTCAGAGATGCTCTCTGTTTCCCTAATTCCCCATCAAGAGAGAAATCATTAACCCTCTGGTGCTGGCGAAACTGTAGTGATGCCAGCCGACGCCACTTTCCGTCATTATTAACAAATCCAGAGCCGTTTTTAAGGATGGGCCTGGCCCAAGGCATGTGGCAAATGATTGAATTAATACGTTCTTGTAGAAGGGGACTCGAAACTTGATTTCTAAAGGGGTGGTTTGTTTTACTCAATTACTGCACCAGCTATACAATTCTTGGAAAGGGGATTTTTGTATGCCAGCCAACAACAGTAGAACAATACAAATGTTTCTTTCTATACATACATACTAGAATATACTTTATGTTTATTTTTATTTTTAAAAAATTAAAATTTTTATGTGACAGAAAATTTGAATTATGTGTTTCTAATGATACTTGTTTTCCTAAATGTATTGACCACACCTGTTTTTTGAGAAGCAAGTTTAAAAAACGAAATTAGTAAATTGATATTTTTCTTTTATATAAAAATAATACAAAATTATTATTTGTAGAATTAAAATAATTATTATGAATATGTAATTATAAATTTAAAATTTTTAAATTTAGCGAATAAAAAAATATTAACGATAATTCTAAATTTATATTGCAAAAATTCATTTATGAAATCAAAATTCATAGCTACTAATAAATATATTATTATTAAATAAAAAAAATTCCTTTACGATGACATTGTTTGCTTAGAAAATATATTATTATTATTGTTAAATGAAATTCTCCCTAGTGTAAATTCAAAGAATAATAATGAAGGAATTATGAGACAGAAACACTAAAAAAAAATTTAAAACAAATACTTCCATGTAAATAGATGGTATAACAGGTGAATGAAAAACTAGTTTTTGTAAGAAAAATATGAAGTAATTATGTATTGTAAACAACAAAAATTCTATCCCAACCTATCCTTTATAAAAAATTAAAGCTTCAATCTTGATTCAAATTCTTCATTTTTTTTTTTTAATTTTCCCACGAAAAATCATCTAGCTTCTTTTTCTCACTCTCTCTACTTTTAACTGAATAAGATAATTTGGAGTTCAGTAGTACAATTTAGAGCGACGTCCCTTTTATATATTTTTTAGAGAGTTTAATTACTAATAGAAACATGGTTTTTTTTATTTTTTAAATACATAAGAAACCGTCTAATAGTTACTAAAAAAATCTGTTAGATTATCGGAATTATATTTCTATTAAAATCCAAAAAAAAGTAGTTTGAAAAAAAGTTTTTTTATTTACATTCAAAAATTTATCAATAATTAATTTTGAAAATTAAAGAAAAATTTACATGTTGAATTACTTGTGTTCCCTTATGTTTAAATGATTACAAATAAGTACAAATTTGGAAAGGCATTGTTTGGAAGTGCGCCGTCAGTCCATGCTTCGCAATGGACACTTGTATCCTTATCTACATTTAGTTTTCTCTATTTCATAACCATAAATTATTATAATTCAAAATATTAAGTTTTTTACTTATTTTGACTTTAATTATTACGAAATAATAAAAAATATTTTGAATGAAAATTCTGCGTCAAAGGGTTTAACCTTCTACTCTTCACCTGACTGTTATCTGCCATGGAATATTATCTCTTTTGCATTTCTGTGTTTCTTTTGTTATCTATTTTGTATTGCTTACAAAATTAAATGATATCTTTGGAAAGTTCCAGCAAAATATTTTTTTTCAATTTCATTATTATTCTTTAATAACTGGTTTGTTCAAATGCAATTTAAAATTCCTATTGTAAATGAAATCTGCAAATTTAAATATAGAACAGCAATGTTTATATAACGAAAAAACGTTTATTGAAACTGTATTAAAAAAGTTATTTTATTTAGCTCCTTTAAAGTATGTGAATAAGCACAATAAA